ATTCTCGTCTCTAGATGTTAGAATAACTGTTAATCCATGTCCAGCTAATTGTCTCACCATTTCAAAACCTATCCCTCTATTTGCACCTGTTACCACTGCCACGGTTTCAGAGGTCCACCACCTAATAACAAGGAGAAAAACAATATTATTTTTAAAAAATTTAAATATAATAAAAATTATATAAATTAATAAACACGATAAATTAATATTTTTTCGTCTAAATGAGATACTTAAAACTAAAATGATACAAACTTTTCTGTGAAACTGTTTTCAATTTTGAAAACATGAAAATGCAATGTAAAACAACCGAATTTAACATAAACTACAAGATCATGAGGTTATAAGAACTAGACATGGATCTTCATAATGTCATTAGATCAACACATAAAACATTTTCACCAATTTTCTTTCTTTAAAGAAAAAAGGATTAAGAAAAAGTTGAAATTAGAAAGGAAGACGAGAGATAGTACCTCTGGTGATCGGAGTAGGGAATAGTACGAAGGAGAGAAATCTCTTGGAGTCTCTTGTCTCGTTTCTCTTTGCTTCCCACCATCTTCTTCTTCTTTTTCTTTTTCTTTTACACGATATTAAGTTTTTTTTTTGTTTGTTTTGTTTTGGAAATCCTGATGTGAATTGCAGGAGAAGAGGCACTGTGGATGTACGGACACAGAGTTTCGTCGTCGTTGTCATGTCCCTCTCAGAGATTCCTCTCATCCTTTTGTGTGGCTCAAAGGTCCAATCTCCCCAATTTTAGCGCGAATTTTCCGTGAGCCTCTCGTTTTAAATTCATATAAATTCTATTTTTAGTTCAAACGTTTTGTTTTACCGAACAGAATTATTAATCTGAATGGGCTTACAATAAATTAAGTTTTTTGGGTTGGGGTTTGCTTAAGATTAAGAAAATGTGCTACTAAAATTTCTTAAGATTTTTGTCTGTTTTCGGTTCATGATATCAGTTAAGACTTGCATAGAAACTCTGTCGGAGGTATGTTTCCCATTTTGGAAACGTTTCTTTAATAGAAACTCACTTTTCACGTTTCTTGAAAATATCAGTTTGAAAGCTCGATGGAAACTAGACATAAATCTATTTTTTGTTCTTCTCTCCCTCGAATATTTCAGAGAGAGAAAACTCTTCCCTTCTCCGATTAATTTCGGAGTTCTTTTCGACATAGATCAGATTTTTTGTTGTAAATACTTTTCTAATCTAGTTCGGTTGTTTACAGGGCGGATCTATGTACAAGGTAGGGGGTCAGCTGACCCCCACTAAATTATTGTTTTCTTCCTTAATTACAATTTCATTAAATGACACTCTAATAATTTTACGTCTCACCCCGTTTCCATTTTTTACTTATTGCTTCCAAAAGAAAGTTCATTCTTTTAGTGAGAAAAAGAAAATAAATAAACTAGTTTTTATCTTTATCTATCAAATATTTATTGTATAAACTGTAATATTTGATCACATTTACGTTTACTATCGTTAACATTTGTATAAATATTGAACTTGAAAAATTCATGTATAATAATTATTTCTTTTGAAATGTGGTTTAATTTTTGTTTTTATATATGATTAAATTAATGATTTGTTGGTTTTTATGCATACATTGTTTTTTTATCGCATCATTTATATTATTTTGTATTGATAATTTATTTTTAAAAATATAATCCTAGATCTGCCACTGGTTGTTTATATCCGGCTATGTCCGGTTGTGGTTCCGACTTAGTTCGGTCCTTTTTCCGATTTTCAGATCTTTTGGTGTGTTTTAGTTTTAGGTGTTGTCTCTCCCTTCCTGAACAAGGCTTTCTCTTCATGTGAGTGGTCAGATTTGCAAAGATGAAGCCAAGATCCGTCGTATACTGACGGATTTTTTCACTACATCATTTGCTCTTATCATCTTTATGTTGGGGAGTAAAATGTTCACCCCTCCGCTGAAGGACCGTATTTACAGTTGTGGGGAGGAGTATTCTAAACATCAAGACGGTCGGAGATGTATTTCCTGCGGTGGTCAAAAATTCTAGTCACGAAGACGTCGCATCTGTTCGGAAGATGGAGCTTATTACAATATGTAAAAGCAAGCAAAGGAAAATTCTTTACAAGCAAAGGAATATACCACGAAGCAAGAAGAACAAAAGAGCATCGAGTGACAACGACATCTTGGAGCCGTTCAGGTCAAAGGAAGAAGAAGTCACGAGATGCTTTAGGCTTATAGCCGTTTATGTTGGGTCGCTTTCTCACTTGATCCAAGACAAAATATCTTGCTTAGTTTAGTATTATCCTATGTCTTTAAATAGCCTTTGTATGTTTCTGAATCAAAATAAGAAAGAGAGTCTTCTCTTTGTTCCTTTAAACTCGTGAAACTCAAACTCTCTCAAATCTCTTTATCATCTTGAAATCTCTCTAAATCTCTCAAACTCTAAACACTTTGAATCTCTTATTCCGCATACACTCATAATCTTTCACAATATTCAAGGTTTAAGGTCGGATTCGGTGGCTCAGAAGAGTGGTTTTGGAGGTCGACTTCGCCTTCACTCGCCGGACATGCGGACATGCATGATACACGTGTCTGCTACGTGTCTAACATGCATTCATCTTTATCTCATTAATTTTAATGAGTTAGTGATGCGGGCTTATTTTGTAAAATGGGGTTTGTTGGGCTCGAATATTGTAATTACTTTGCCCATGTTTTGGGCTTAATGAAATTATGTTGCCGACAAAAAAAAAACCTATTTTTTGTTTTCGAAAACATAAAAAAATTACAAAAAATAAATAACAAGATTAGATGGTTAGTTTAGTTCTTTTAAATAAGTTCATGATTAATTTAAGGGAAATTTGGCGGAAAAAAAAAATCCTTTTGTACACATAATTTTTTTGATAATTTCTTATCTTAATATATTTTTTTTCAATGAATTACCAAAATTAGCCATCGAAATACAATTACAAGCTTTTAAAAATTAATCTACCACAAAAATAATTAATAATTTTGAAATAGCATAATATTAAAATATTTTTTTTTCATTTAAAAATCTTATTTATTTAATTCATTTCTTTTTTTCATTCTCTTTTTTCCTGTTTTCTCTTCCTCACGAATAAAATTCCATCATTTGATTGAACACCATCTTTAGACACCACAATTTACATAGATATGCAACATGATTAGAACTTGAAGAAAAAAATGCACAAAAAATGATGAAAATGATTTAGGGTCTACTGGTTTAACCGCTGCGGTTGCGGTTGCGGGAGTTTGCGGCTGCGGGAGTTTGCGGAAGCGGGAGTTTGCGATTAAAAGCTGTTTGTACGACTGGTATAGCAATTCATAGCGGTTGCGTTTGCGGGATATTTTTGACTGGTTAGCCAGCGGGTGCAAGAGCGGTTTAACCAAAAGTTACTAAAATAAAAATAATATATAATTATTCAAAACATTTATAACCATATTAATAATTTTTTTTTTGAAATATATTTTTTGATGAATTTTTAATTTGAAAACTACCCTTTTTTTTGGTTTTGAAAAATACACTTTTTATATGTAAAATGATTATTCCTAATTTAATAAAAACGAAATTCAAATAAGAAATATAAAATATTAATATTTGATAATAATTTTGTATCATTTTAACATCCTAATTACCTGTTTAGTTTTTTTTAAACAATTTAATAAAAATATAAGATTGTTTATATAAAGTTTAAATGGGGTGAGATTAAAGTTGTTTATGCAAAGTTTCAAAAATATTTAAATTTTTCAAAAGATAAACATTAAAAATGAAAGATATATTTCTCCACTTTTAAATTTTTAATAATTTATAAACTTTAAATATATGTAAAGTTTTAATTTATTTAAAGTTTCATTTGGTTTGAATGTGTATGAGGTTAAGTTGTTTATATAAAGATCCAAAATATTAAAATTTGTTTCAGTTTAACATATACTATATTTATTTGAAAAAAAACTTATTAGTTTATTATTTTTTTAAATTTTCGTTTATAATTTGTAATTATTTATTATTTTTTTGTTTAAATCACGTCAAAACATACTTTTTACATTTTAAAAGTGTATTTTTCAAAACAGAAAAAATTTAGGGTATTTTCGAAATTTTTAAACATAATTATGGTATTTTTCAAAAAAATATACCCTTATTCCAAATTTGGAGATATTATGTTTTTTTTTTTTTTTTTTCAAACCGCAACCGCCCGCAACCGCAAACGCTTGCGGAAAGGAGCTTTTGATTTTCAGCGATATAGAGCGGTACAGAGTGGTATAGAGCGGTTGAAAGCGGTTGTCGTGATTGTTATAAAACGCTAAGAACCGCTACGAACCGCAAACGCTGCGTTTGCGGGTGGTAGCGGGAGAACCAATCATCACCTTAGAGGAACATCAACATCAAAAGAAGAAGAAGAAGAAGACAGAAAATGTCATTTTTTTTCTTTAGAGGAGAAAAATAAGGAAACTGCTAAATTTGAAAAAAAAAAAGCTTTTTAAATATTTGCTTACCATATTAAGCTAGATATTCTCACATTCTCGCATAAACTTTATTTCTATAATCGGTAAAATTTAGTGTTATTTCTAGAATATGTGTTGTGCAAATGGTAGAATCTAAATTATTTGAAGAATGAGTACTCTATGAAAGGGAAAATACAATGAAATTGTCAGATTAAACTTTCTACTGAATCAACGAACTTATAATATTCGTAGAATGTCTTTTCTATGATTGGTAGAATTTTTAATGTTAGTCATAAAGCATTTTCTACCACTAGTAGAAACGTGAACATAAGTTAGATCTTATATTCTACAGTAAAATATTAAAGATAACGTAGAAATCAAATTCTTCAGTATGTAGAAAAAAGAGCAGCAAGTAGAATGTGAATTCTACTTTGAATATTTGAAAACATAGAAATTTAGAAAATCATATGTTTAACACATTTTCTATTTTTTTTTTTAAAATGGCATAACATTCTCCATATTATTTTTCACTTTTTTTTTCCCCTCAAACATACCATTTTCATTAAGGAACTAGAGAGTTATACATTGTTTCTCTTTGTCAAGCAATCGACTAAGCCATGCATGGATACTACAATCAAGAAAAGCCAAGTACATAGGATTAGAGAGAGAGCTTTTGGCTAAGGGATCCGCTGCCTCGTTTGCTTCTCGGCGGCAGAACTTGAAGGTGGGCTTCAAGAATCTTTGGGTGCCTCTGATTTCTCCAATGTAACTCTGCAATCCAGGCCAAGAGTGTGGATCTGCTATAGCTTGTAGACTTGTGAGTCACTCTCAAACGTTACCTCACTAAAACCAAGATTGTCGACAACAGCCATGGCCCAAACTAGAGCCGCTGCTACAGCCTGGAAATAAGAGAGAGATATGTTTTGGTACCATACCATCTCCCATTTCCTGGATTATCTCTTAGAATCCATGCCACGCTACAAGTTGTCTTACCTGCCTTCCAGGATGCATCGACATAACATTTAAAAGCGCCTTGGTTAGGCGGTATCCATTTAGAGGGTGGTCCACTTGCTGCTGCGACGGGTTTATGAGTCGTCTCTTGATGCTCCAGCCACTCTCTTGAATCTTGGAGGGCTTGTTCTGCAACTTTTTCAGCCGGTAGGTTCTTGCCTTTGAGGCAGAAGTCATTATGTGACTTCCATATTCTCCATAAGATCCAGGGTCCAGCATGCATTCTCTTTGATAGTTTCCCTTCTTTCCCGTGGTACTCGTAGATAAAGAGCTGTGCCATATTGGTGTACATAGAGTGTGATGGCATCGGGTAGAAGAGGAAGTCTAAGGAGAGAGGGCCCAGACCAACCTGGCATAAGGGCACACAAACAGCACATGATTAGCATCTTCTTCTTTTGCTCCGCATCGAGGACACTGTTTACACTTTGTTAGCCGCTTCTTGCTCATATTAGTTGCCACCGCCAAGCAATTCGCTACGGATCTCCACATAAATCCTTGGAGTTTAGGTGATGTGTCGGCTTTCCAAACCGCCTGAAATATGGGGTTAAGGGATGGGCCATATCATTGTCCTAAGTGTTTCTGATTGGATTAATAGTATGAGACCACATCCAATACCCGGATTTAGCTGAATAAGCTCCATTATTGTTATAGATCCAAGAGAAGCCTTCTTCCTTACTTCTTCTGGCCGGTTTGATCTGACTGATAAGCACTACATTTTCTTCTGCGAAAAGAGACTTGATATTATGCCATTTCCATTCATCCGAATCCCAATCCTTTAAATAAGAGAGACAAATAGAGTCAGGTTCTATTCCCTCTTTGACTTTAGGTGGTCTGGGCGGATATGAAGGAAGCCAAGGGTCTCTGAGGAGATTTATATGATCACCTGCTCCAAAGTTCTTTCTCATTCCTTGCTTCATCAGACTTTGAGCACTGTGTATACTCCGCCAGGCGAAAGAGGTTCTAGTGCCCAGTCCTGCTTCTAATGGGCTGCACTGCGGGAGATATCTTACCTTGAAGACCTTTGCTAAAAGGGAAGATGGGTTTGTGCACATTCTCCATAGCTGCTTGCCTAAGAGAGCTTGGTTGAAACCTACGATGTCCTTGAATCCTAACCCACCTTCTCGTTTGGGGACACTGAGTTTTTTTCCAAGCTTTCCAATGGATTCCTTTTCCCGCTCTCTTGGTTCTTCCTCCAGAAACCAACTTTTTACACAGGGAGCGTGGTAGCCTGAAGCACGACATGGTGTAAGTAGGCAGGGTGAGTAACCGCTTTTATCATTACCTCTTTGCCTCCTTGGGACAGGAAGTTGGAATTCCACGAGAGCACCTTCTTGTTTACTTTTTCCGTCAGATATTGAAGCGACTTGACTTTGGAGTCGATGAAAGCTTCCGGAAGGCCCATGTATATCCCTTTCCCTCCTTCCTTTCAATGCCGGTTACGGATGTCACCAAATTCCTTCTCTCCATAGTCATCTTCCTGCCGTAAACTACACTGGATTTAGGTATGCTGACTTTTTGCCCTGATGTAGCTGTTGAGAATGCTAATGATAGACTTCAAGGCTTATCCGATACAAGAAATGAGATGAGAAACAGAAGAAAGGAAGGAAATCAGAAGAATGACAAAATAAGGAAATAGGAGGATATAGAAGGAGATTTTAGATTAATTTCATGTTTACTGTTCATATGATAAGGTGACCTACCAAATTTAGGTTCCTTTAAATACACAACTCATAATGTAACCTAATTCAAAACGACAACATCTTAATAAAACACATAACAATGAGAGATACGACTAAGAAGAACCCTCTTTCTCAACAAGAGTCTTCACCTCTTCTTCTCTTCCCATTTAGCCACTTTGCTTACACTTTCCCCACGTACGAGCTTCTCCTCTTCTCTCTGATCTCTTTTTCTTTCTCAAGTAAGATACATGAACTCCTAACCTATCAATACTTCCCCCGTGAAGAACTATCTTGTCCTCAAGATAGAAGAGAGTTAGCTTGTTAGCAGCTATCTGAGAATCTTCAGTTGGAGAACTTCTCCTTTGAACATGATCATCACCGTATCGTCTCTTATTTCGACCAGCAACCAGAGCTTTACCAGAATTTCGTGACATCTTGTTCCACCACAACTCTGGTGGTCTCGGAGAATGAAAAAGGCTGTAGATAGGAGCTTCAGTCAAAAGATTAGAGCTATCTTTGTCAGACATATAATATTGTCTCTCCATTGACCTTAGGACTGTAATAAAAACAACAGCTATAGCACCCTTGTCTTTCTCCTTCTCTGAAACATTAATGCACAGACAGAACAAGTGAACATCAAGATTCATGGACAGAAACAAGTCATGTTCTTCTTCATTTTTGTTCAGCTCTTGTTCAACATACGCAAGCAAGGACAGCAGCTCTTGGTACTTCTCACTGTTTTTCCAATTCGTCCCAACAATATTAAGAGAGACATGTTTTAGACAAGCCTCAACATCAACGCCTCCATCATTTGTTTCTGTGGCACCTCGAGTGTGAGTTTATGTCCTTGAGTTATCGCTGTCTACTACCACCGAACTTCCTTCTCCAACATAGCTCAGCCGTATAGTCGCTCCTTTTGTCTTTTCCTGAAAAACCAGTTTTATTCTTTAAGTAATTACAGCAAACAACTAAGAGCTCTTGTTCATGTCCAGAAGAATCGTGTATGGACCGCAGCCCCTGGTATTTCTCAGCCTTGATGAGCTTCTCCTCTATCAGCTCTATGTCTTTTTTCTTTTTTTTTCATATCTAGCCGCCACTCTTCTCTTCTTTTCTGCACCACTGCTTAAATACAAAGAAGCTTCATGTCGAGTAATTTTCTGAGGCTCTGCACTTCCCTCAGACATAATCCTTTATGCTATAATTACAGGCTTGAAACTCTTCTTCCTTGTATCCATACCTTCCCACCAAAACAGCTTCGTCTCCTCCCTAAAGTTGTCAAAGTAATTATGGAAAGCTCTTCTAGTTTCCTCATACTCTGTTTTGCTTCGGAGCTGTTTTAACTCTTCACCTCGGCCCTGCAAGGTTATCAACCTTCCATTGTGTAAGAAGGATAAGGTCTGTTTCTGCCAATTCACCCATGTTTCATCAAGTTTTGCTAACCACTTGTAACCCAAAATCAGGTCTACACCAGGCTGATTCACATTGAGCATAAGATAATCTTCAGTGATTTCAAAGTCTTGAACCCACAAACTTACTCCACGACACTCTCCTTTGCTCTCTGCTGTTATCCCATGCCCACACAAAACAGAAATTTTGTCTTTCACTTCACTTGACAGTTTGAGACGAATGGCTAAATCCTTTGAAACAAAATTGTTTGTTGCTCCCGAGTCTATGACAACAGCCACCTTGTGTCCCCAAATCGTTCCCTCAACCAAGAACCTCTCATCTTTGTCATAATATGCAATGGAACACTTCTCCTTATCCCCTGAAATTTCGTCACTATCCCTTACAACGACTAGACTCATTAGTTCTTTTTTCCTCTATCAATTGAGCTAAGTCCACCATATTCACAATCCCTCTCGGTTGTAGTTGTTGGACTGCAGAATGCAAATGAGGCTTTAAACCTTGCAAAAACGTTTCTTCCCAACATGCTCCGGGTAAACTATTAGTTTGAAGACACAAACTCTCAAACCTTTGTCTATATTCCCTTACAGTTCCTTCTTGGTGTATTCTTCGGTATCTCACTTGGTCAGACCGCTCCTCTTGTGCTTCTCTAACCATTTGCTTGAATTCTTCTCATCTGTTAGGCGGTTTCCATTCCATGAGCTCCTTAATCCACTTACTTGGACCTTCTATGTATTTGTAAGCAACCTGCAACTCTATGTTTTCCATTCTATCGCTCTCACCAAGATGTCTCTCAAAACTGATTATCCACTTCCGAAGTCCATCATCAATACCTCTCTCTCTCTATCGACTTGATGAACTCTGGTAGTTTTCTTAAACCAACAATCAATTCTTCTCCAAGTAGCACCAACATGCTCACCACTTTCAACCATACAACCACCACTATTGAAAGGAGCACATTCATTAACAAGGAGGGCAGAATCACCATGAAGATGAGCATCACGTTCACGGTTTGGACTTGCAACAACGATCACTCTTTTTCCCTTTTTCTTAGCAGAAAGCTTGTGGCTTCGCCGAGCTCGCCGAATTCTCCAATCGACCTCCCTGCAAATCGTTACGGAACCTCTCGTAACCTTTGAACGCTTGCACTTGATTCCGACCTGACGTACACAGCCTCGAGCTCCTCTCACGCCTTTGTTTTCTCTTCATTATTGATCTGTATACTCCCAAATTCCTCTTTGAACAGCTCGCTGCAGCAACTGGATCCAGCATCCTAGAAGAATTCCAATTCTTTTTCCTAGTTTTGAATCGCCGTTTCTTCTTCCTAAACTTAAAGCATCCATGTTTCTCTAAGGTTCCCACTTTATGGTACCTCATGTTCACGCTCTGGCTCTTGAGTCTGCTTGAATCCGAATCTGCTTCATATGCCATGTCACCCACAACTTGTTGACGAAATGTTCCACAGGTTTGACCTTTTTTTCTCCAACAAGAACAAGAGGAACCTGAAAACTGTCGCTCGCCACATGTTCGGCAGTATGCCCAAGAGGCAAAACCACTTCTTCAGTCACAGTTTTGGTAGTTTGGTCCTCTTCTCGAACTACGGCAACAAGAAACGGCGGCACTTCTAATCCCTGGCACTTCAAGATAAAGCTTAGGGCTTCCTTGATCCAAGCGATATCCTTTTCATTGCGATCTAGTCGCTGCTCCATTGATAGAAGTTCTAACTCGAGTTCGGGAGAGCTAGCTCTCAGATCTGGAACAATAACCCCTAGAGTCATCGTTTACTCTCAACGAAAGCACCAATGAGAGACTTCGAGGCTTATCCGATACAAGAAATGAGATGAGAAACAGAAGAAAGGAAGGAAATCAGAAGAAATGACAGAATAAGGAAATAGGAGGATATAAAAGGAGATTTTAGATTAATTTCATGTTTACTGTATGATAAGGTGACCTACGAAACTTAGGTTCCTTTAAATACACAACTCATAATGTAACCAAATTCAAAACGACAACATCTTAATACAACACATACCAATGAGAGATACGGCTAAGAAGAACCATCTTTCTCAACAAGAGTCTTCACCTCTTCTTCTCTTCCCATTTAGCCACTTTGCTTTGACTTTTCCCACGTATGAGCTTCTCCTCTTCTTTCTGATCTCTTCTTCTTTCTCAAGTAAGATACAGGAACTCCTAACCTATCAGCTAACCACGGCTTCCAGTTGGGATCTTTCTGCAAAAGAAGAGGTTGTCGTCTGCGAAGAGGAGGTGAGAGATTTGGAGGTGACTCTTTTGCAATCTGGACCCCCTCAACACGCTCCTCTCTTCCCGCTTGACTAAAAGCATGTCCCAAAATTTCTGCACATAAGATAAATATGAAAGGGGAGAGTGGATCTCCCTGGCGGATTCCCTTGGTTGGAATGATGGGACCGTAGGCTTTACCATTGAATAGTACACTGTATGAAGCATTAGCGATGCACTACATTACTCTGTTTATCCATTTTTCCGCAACGCCAAGGTGCTGGAATGTTTTCTCCACAAAAGTCCATTCAAATCTGTCAAATGCCTTCATCATATCAGTTTTCATAGCAATGAAATCAGATGAAACTGCATCTCTAGATTTCAGGGCATGCATAATCTCATGGGCAATAAGAATGTTGTCGGAGATGAGTCTCCCTTTTACGAAAGCAGCTTGATTTTATGATATAATATCCGAGAGTATCCTCTTGAGCCGGCTGGAGAGAACAAGCTTATTGGCCGGAATTCACTGAGCTTATAAGCGAAGTTGCACAAGCTTATAGGCCGGCATTCACTAAGCTTCTAGGCATGGTGCTTCTGGGGAATAAGACATGTGTTTATCATGTTGATTTTCTCGTCTATGATCCTTTGTTCCATGAAATCCTCAACCATTTTCATGAGGTCATGTTTCACAAATTCTTAAAATCCCTGGAAGAAAGCTCCAATTGATCCATCCGGCCCAGGAAATTTCTTAGCACCAAGGTCGAAGACAGCAGCCTTCACTTCCTCCATCTTAACTTTGTCTATCAGTATTAGATTATTCTCTATTGATACTCTTCCAACCATACCATTGAAGACTTCTTGTTCTTCAGAGATCTGAGGGGTTCGCACTTCTGAAGTAAAGAAATTACTGAAGTACTTAATTGCAGTGTTTTGATGAAAGGATTTTGGTATGTCTTTTTAGTATGATGGATGAAATGAAAGATGGGTGATGGTTATGATATGAATGGAAGACATGCAAGATCACAGACAATCAACTCCTCTTTAACATCATTGTTAATGCAGCATAAGAGGTTATCAATCCATAATGGGAATGCTGTCACACTATAAGACTATGCGATTGCTTGGAAGTCATGCCAAATGGTTTAAAGATGGTGGATGTAACAACTAACAACCTAAGGTGAAATGAAATGCAATTGAAGGCAGTAAATGAATGCAAACAGAAGTGAGTGCAAGAAACTAACAGAAACAAGCGAATGCAAATGGGCTCGATTGAGCAACCGACCGAGTTGGTACAAAAGCAGAAAAGAAATGAACTCGACCGAGCTACGGATCGAGCTAGAGTTAAAATAGAAAAAAAAAAACAGGAGAAGCAGAGCAGATGCGAATGTAAACTAATAAGGCTTAAAATGGGGTTTTGTAACTAGGAGAAGCTTATACTTAATCAATGCTGCTCTTAAACAACTTGTACCCAAGCTAGTCTCTTGGTTTTGAACTTCTTAAGGCTGATTAACCCTTTTCCAAGGTGGAAATCATCAATCAAGGATCAATCTCAGAAACAGGGAGTCAACCAGTGAGATCGATCTATGATGGCTTTAGAAACTTTGTTCAAACTCACCCTTCAGCATCGATGAACTGTCACTTTTGTGAGACAGGCATGCTAAATCTCTAACTAGGCTTGTTCAAGTGATTATCAACTCATTTCCATGATGATAATCACCTAAAACCGAACACACCATGGGTAGTGGGTGTGTTGCATAAAGCTTAGCCCAAAAGAGAGAGATTTCTATATTAAGAACACTAAGCAACAAACATTAATCATAAACAACTCCTAATCTAACCCATCTCTAACCCTAATGATGGAACTACTCACTAAACATGATTAAGGAAACAACAAAACTCAATGAAATAGACATCAATAGAAATAGTAAGAAGAAATAAACAACTTTATTAGAAATAAGCAAGAGAAAATTCGCAAGTACAAAGCCAAGATCTAGGATTGAATGAGAAAGAGCTCAAGAACACAAAGAAGTGGCTAGAAACTAAAAGAGGAATAGAAATTACAAGATTAAGCCAAAGTTCTGAATAAAAACGTGGTCCTTTGCCTTAAATAGGAGACCAATTAGGTTTAAGAGTCAAAGGAGGTCAAAGGGAAGCAATAAAATTCGGGTTCTTGTCTCCTGGATAGCTGCTCGATCGAGTCGTCTTATGGCCGGTCAAGCTAGTGTAAACTTGGGAAGAATTGGCCTAGCTCGACCGGTTGGTCTAGCGGTTGGGTCAAGCTGGGCATAAAGGCGCCACCTTTGATAATCTTGAGCCGTGCGATCGAGTGGTGGTCCATGCAAAGCTCTTCCTTGCTCCTCACGTCCCAAGTGCTCCAATATGCTCCATAATGACCTGTTTAAGGATCAAACATGCATATGTGCAAATGCAATCCTAGAACTACAATGTATGCATAAAAAGAACAAAACACCAAGAAATGATGCTTTGGATGATAGGGTATCAGGAACATAACAAAAAGAGACTAGAAATATTTTTAAGATCCTAATTCTCGTGGGTATGGGAATTTTGATCGCAATATATCTGAAAAGTTAATAGTGGATTACTGAGTTGAGATTATGATCTCTCACATCGATATTTATAAACTTGTTACGTTGTGTTTTTTTCTTCTGTCATCTGATTTTGTAACCGATGTGAGATTCTAGCGAGTATACAACTTCGTAGGTTTTCAACGATCTTTTCTAATCTTATGTCTTTGGTCAAATTTTGTTTTTGTATAAGTATGCAAAAGTGATGTAAAAAATATAATAAAACCATGCAAAATACAAGTACATCATGTTCCCCATCTCTTCTTCTAAGAATTGCATCTGTTGTGTCTCCTCGTCGATCAGGGAATGGATATTGTTGTAAGCCCGCCTCTGCTTTGCAACGGAATGGAAATATTTGGAGTTCTTGTCACCCTCCTTGAGCCATGTAATTCTGCTTTTTTTTTGTCTCCAAAAAGCCTCTTCGTCCTTGTATGCTTTATACAATTGAGACTTCAAGGTTTGAAGTTTGTTTCTCTTATAGGAGTCTTGATGTGTTATCTCATCTATCTTCTTCTTCAATTCCTGGATTTGGATTTAAGAATTTAGCTTCGTTCTTCTCTTCCAGCTTGCCTTCGCTCGTCTACAATACCTTATTTTTGAGACCAGGTTTGTTTCCTGTTCCTCTTCCACGTGGTTCCATCCTTCTTGGACCGCTAAGGTGAAACTTTCTTTGAGTCTCCACCTCTTGTCATATCTGAACATACCAAATCTCTTAGGCTCGTCTCCATTGAAGCTGGTGACTATTGGACTGTCATCCGATCATATTCTGGGTAAATAGGAGGATCTAGCTTCTTGAAATAGGATGTGTCAATCTGCATTGGCAACGACACAGTCTAATTTGCAGTGCAAGAGTCCATATCCTCTGTATCCGAACCAAGAGAACGGATTCCCTTGATAATGGATTTCCATCAATCCACAAGCACTCATCAGATTCTTGAAAGGAAAGAAAGAGCTCTCCGGTCTGACTATGCCTCCTCCTTCTCCTCATTACTCAATATCTCGTTGAAATTCCCCAGTAGGATCCATGGTTCATCTCTACCTTCTCCTATCCGCATAAGCTTTTCCCACACTTTTCCTCTTTCGCCACTAACCAGATCTCCATAAACTCGTGTCAAATAATATTTTTTTTTCTTTCCAGACGACTTGGGTATCAATCCATCGAGGACTTGAAGACAGCACTGTAACATGAACCTCTTCCTTCCATAGTAAGGCTAGACCTCCTCCTATTCCTTCAGGTTCTACTGTCCATATATCATGATACCCTAAGTGGCTCCACACATTCTCCAGATAATCTCGTTTGTTTTTGGTCTCACTGAGGAATACAACCTCTGGGATATATTGACCATATATATCCCTTAGGTGTCGAACTGTCAATGTGTTCCCCACACCCTGACAGTTCCAACAGGCTGTCCTCATATCGACGTTGGTGGTTTATGGTTAACCACTAACCTTTGGTGATCTGGGGTTCTCGGATTTGTAGTGACGCAGACTCCGGAGCTTAACGTGAAGGACCCGGCCGGATTGGAGAAATGGTTTTTTCCCTGAGGCATAGCTGAGCTGCTGCCTTCTGAGGTGGGTTTCTGATGGTGAGGAGAAGAGCTTGTGGATGTTGACAACATAGCCCTTTTCCGTGCATGATTTCTTTCTGCACTTGATCTCCTCTTCTTCTTCGTTGAGGATGGGGATAAAGTGTTAGATGTATCGGAGTGAGAGGGTTGATCAGTCGGTTCATTCAAAGGGGTCAAAAAGGTGCCTCTTTCCTTTGCCGGGGAGTAAAAGTTTTTCTTCTCAAGCAATCTTCTCAGGTCATATTTTGAGCTTTCTCCGGTTTTGTCATCTTTCTCGTTGTATCCTGCCGGGATTAAACCAAAGAAATTTTATCTCCATACTGCCGTTGAGGCCACCTTTTTCCCTTTGTCCCCTTGAGGTCCCAGTCTAGAGAAGACTTCCGGAGGGGGTGGCTCTATGTGTGTGAGTGATGAGCTTGTTTGCCTTGCCCTTCCTTGTCCTCGGCCTCTGCCTCTTCCTCTGGAGGATCCTCTGCCTCTTGTAGCTTGGGTTCCTTCATTCAAGGAGATGGCTCCTCCTTCTCCCCTCTCATTGGAATCAAGAGGGGCATTCCGATCAGTTTTAGCTGCTTTCCTTGATCTTTGACCTCTTTTGAGCGTCGTGTTGCGCTCAATAGCCAAGTCTGCTGGGGAAGGCACATCTCTACTACTGTTGAGACTGTGAAAGACTCCTGCTTCTGCCATGTATTTGCTTCTACAATGGTATTGATCATGGGTGATCCGTTGCAGCAAAGCTTAACCAGCTTCTCATAGTCCAACTCAACTGTTACTAGCTCCCCTATTTCAAATTGAGCGGCTTTCTTGAACACAATCGGTTCCTCCACCGGTAGCCATACTCTAGCGCAAGTATTCCATTGATTCAGACTTTTTTGCATGGAGTTTGATTGCCTCGACTCTTCCCAAGGAACCCGCTATAGAGTCTACGACCTGATTGGTACTCAGATGCAGAGGGATCCCCTTGATACGCATCCAGATTGGAATGGTAGTCAGGAAGTCTGGCGCTGGCTGAGGCGACCATTTCTCTCCTGTGACTAACCAGCCATTGACATGCCAAGGGGCTTCCGCGAGAACCTTTTGCAGATCATCTTTCCGATCGAAGATAAATTGAACCTTGTTATCTCCAACTCCTCTTCCTCTGACCCTTCCTTCCATTTCCCAGATCCCTGGGAGAGCTAATACAACTCCAGGGGTTTTTAACGCATCAAAATTGATGATGATACTTGATGAGTGATTTTCGATCAGGTTATGGTTGTTAAAACCCGGGATCTTGACAATATCCTCTAGATTCACTTCCTCCTTCTCCTTGAGCTTTCTTAACATCTCTTCATCTTGTTTCTTGTACGCCCTATTCAACATTAACCCGAGAAAAATATCACTGGAGAATAGGGAGCTTCGTCACCTATTATGAGCCTCCAAGATTCTCAGGTACAGTTACTGAATAGGGTTACACCGGCGCCCTAGTTATGACAGGGAAAACCTTTACACCGGTGAATGATTTTGAAGAAGGGCTCCAGTACAAATACTCAAGACGAAAAGCAGAGTACTTGTAGCGGCTGAATGGAAAGACCCCTTCCAAATTCTAATCTGATTTAATACTAGCGATGGAGGAGAAAAATAAAACTACTCTAAGATCTCGCACAGTTCCAGACTCACACTTTTTTGTTGCCTAAAGGAGACCTTCATATGTGCGGTGTGGAAAATATGCTTCTTGTACTCTCAAAGTATCAATCGAGATCTAGGGTTTTGAGTGGTGATATCGCTCTCGCCGTCGCCGAGAGAGAAGAGAGATTTTCTTAACTTTTAAACGCAGCTATAATCTTTCTTTATTATTTTTCACTTGTTATGATTTTTTTTAAAGGCATTTAAAAACATTTATTTTATAAATATCTACATTTTATAAGCAAATGGTAAATTTTCAAAAAAATGTGTATTAGGACAAGAGGATAGTTTTTTTAGCTTATATTCACAAATATCCCTTAATTTAACTCCTTAAGATTAATGTAAACTTTGTAAAGTTTGAAAATATTCTTTTTGATAGACCATAAATTAAAGATAGATTTAGTTGATGTAGCTAATAGAAATGATAATGATAAAGATTTTAACATTGAACTATGATTTTTATTTTTAGCAAACTATTATATATATATATATATTAATATCTATCTTTATTAATATTGAATTCAGTGTAATAATACATAAAATAATAATAACAAAAACATATATAAGTAAGATGATGGATAACAACAATAGATCAAATGAAGTAAATTTGAAGATATTTTTGCTTGGAAGGTCGTCGTGAATAACAGAGATTCAACAGAGTTTCAACTCTATTAATTTTCTTGGGAGCTTTAACACTTCCTCCCATCTTAGATACCAGTTTCTTTTGTTGTATTACATTGGCCATATTCCAATTTAGGTCTACTGATGATGTGTGTAGAATCTAATAAATTGATTATTCTATCAAAGATAAAGATTGAGACATCCAATTTTCAACGACTCTAAAAACGTCGACATACAAAAAACAAATACATCTTTGAATATATTTATGTAATAAAACAATTATATAGTTTATATAAATTAAATATAAAATATACACGTTTTCAATATTATATTTTTCAAAATAGATGTTTCACATTTTCAAAAATTTCCACTTCTGCGTTTCGGTTTCCATTTTGATTTCCGTTTCCATGAAAACTTGATTAAAAGAATCTTAACATTAAAACCAAAAAAAAACTTGATTAAAAGAAAAACACAAAATAGTTAATAATTGTGATCAGGAGAGGGCCACGGCTAGTGTAGGCCCACTATGGGTCCATAAGTAGCACTTTTGTTGTTCGCTTCATTTACAATATTAAACTTTGCCTTCTACATTTGCCGTGTGAAGAGAAAATTAAAAAATGGCCACCCGCAAAGCTCTGATTAACGTCCACCGGATCATCCGCTCGACCGCCGTGGTTAACCGGAGCTCCATCACTCCTGCCGTCGCAACCCGAGCATATCCTATATTCCGGTACCCTAACGTTCCCTCCACCGTTTAACAATAGAAACGAATTTCCGTTTAATTTCCGGAATTTGTTTTTGTTTTTTTTTTTCAGAAATGGAGTTGATTTTGCGCCGAGATTCTTCTCCCAAAATTTCGGTATCGATCTCTCTAGTGAAGAGAATAAGAGGATAACGATCAACAGGTATTAGTTAATTCCGAATTGTCTACGTTGTTTCGGAAAATTAAATATTGGTGATTGAGTTTTTTGGGGTTTTTGTTTGTGTGTGAATAGATTGTTGTATAGGAGCAAGCAACGAGGGTTTCTGGAACTTGATCTGGTCTTGGGAAATTGGGTTGAGGAGAATGTCAATTCCATGGACGAAAACGCTGTCAAATCCCTAATCCATGTCCTTGATTTGGTATATTTCATTGTCTCTTATCAGAAAAATTGTCACCTCTCTGCGTCTGTCGTTTTGTAGCTCACATGAGTCCTTTTCTTGGCTTCAAATATCTGATGTATTAGCATATTGTCGAGTCATGTGATAGGAGGAATCAAAGCGTTTTTGTATCATCTTGCAAGATCTTGGAGTAGGTTTAGTATATGATCTGTGTGAATTTTAAGCCAAGCTGAGGCTGTGTGAGTGATCTAAGCTCGGAATGATCCATTTAAGAGCTCAGAAAGGTTGTTGATTGTTGAATGGTTTCCCTTTAGATGTAATTAGATGTAAATCACAATCATTTGGATAGTGAAATCTCTATTCTTTTCTGAGTTCAAAGAAATTTGTGAGATTAATAGATTTTCAATATTCTCTTGCTTTGATCTCTCTGCAGGAAAACCCTGATCTCTGGAAATGGCTAACTTCTCAGGAACAGCCTCCGGAGGCAGTGAGCTCAAATCCGGTAAGTATAATCTCATAATGAGGCCTATGTTTATGACTTCTTAAGTCATCCTCCAACGATATAAACAATGAACTGTTGTGATGCTAAAGGTATTCATGGAGTTGCACGAGAAAGTCATGAAGAATCTGAACAATCACGCAGCACCAGAGACTCGTGCAGCGGCTGGACAACCCTGGGTCAAAGGCTGGGACGATTTCAAGAGAGGTCGTGACGGTCCCATTTCAGGGAACCAGTAAAAGAAACGAAAAATAAAATATGTAAAAGTACCTTAAGAAGATACCAAATCGTTCGCAACCATTACATTTACAATTGTATGAATAAAAGAGCCAGGCTGTGAAGATATATAGCCTGAGAGGTATAATGAGTTTCCTGACTATGAGATGATTATTACAGTGATTTGGCTTGTTTGTTGAAGTTTCTTGATAAAATATTAATTAAGAGTTTGTGGTTTGATTATATGTGCCGAGTTTGTCAATTGGAGATCTTGGAACCAGTTTCCTGGCATTTATAGTTTAATATTATTACTGTGAATATATAAAGTTCCAGGCACAAGTTTGATATTGAGTCACTTTATTGTTAAAAATCTTAGCCGGTAAATCAAAACTACTAGCTCTCTGTTTCAACATTTCACACCGATGAGGACCATTATTTTAAACGTGGGATTCACAATAATACTATTAACATATACTCCCTTCTGTCCCATAATATAAGCTATTTTGACTTATAATTTTTGTCCCATAATATAAGCAATTTTGACATTTTAATGCATTTTTATTTTATGGAAAACTGTGTGACCACTTATATTTTGCAGTTGTTTTTTATGATTAGTTGGATTACATTTAATCTATATTTTAAATGATATTTTTTAAAGCAAAACAATTTTCTTAATTCTTGTGTTTAAGCTAAAACAGCTTATAATATGAGACAGAGGTAGTACAGTACTTCCTCTATTTCAAAATCTAAGATGTTTGGGGTTTTTCGCAAGAAATAAGAAACTTTTAACCAATCACAATTTAACTATTCAAATACTTTTGGTTAATATGTGTTGAAGTTTGTAATATGTTAATATTAATTACCAAAAAGTACCTTAAAAATTCCAAAACATCTTATATTGTGAAACAATGAAAAATCCTAAAACATCATAAATTCTGAAACAGAGTGAATATTTTCTGTATCTTTTATTTTATAACTCAACATTTATGCATTTGCGTTGGGATGTGTGTCAAGAAAAATCTAGTCTCTTTGGACCAAAAAAATAACCTTTTATAAATGTATAAAAGTATATGATGGGAATAAAAGACATTATTTATTGTTTCCCTTTAAAGAAGAGGATTTTGATATTTTAATGAACAAAACGACTCACAAAAGTTTGTAATGATCAAATAGTCATATAAATAATGAAGAATATACCATGCGAATCTCCGACTCCACACCATTGGAGATTGGCTCCTTTTCCAATTCCACCTCTCTCTTTCTTCTTCGTCTTCTTCTTCTTTCAGCTTCACCTGTAAAGCATCAGCATCAGCACAAATCTGAAATCCCCATTGTCTTCTTCGAATTTAAATCGCTTCTGATATTTTCACCCATTCTTCAATTTGTTTTACGTCTTTGGATTCCTCCGCCTAAAGGATCACTGAAGTTTCGAAGAACATCTTATTCGTTATTCGATTTTCACTCGAATATAACGGATTTGAAATCACTCTATACGTTACGGGTTTAAAACTGGTGAGCGTTGTGTAGATTTGTAGATCGGATTTTGATTAGAACATCCTTCTCTAGATCTCTCAACAAGGAAGTTTCTTATGATCACCGACCCAGAAATAGCAATTTGATATCTTCAATTCTCCGAATTTTTTGATCCATCATGTCGAGTCATCACGGCGTGGAGCGGCATGTTGGTTTACCGGCGAAAATCGAAGCCAAACAGAGTTGCTGCAACCCGGTTAAGAAACCCGGACCCGTTTCCATTGATCACGTTCTTCTAGCTCTCCGCGAGACGAGAGAAGAGCGAGACGTGCGAATCCGCAGCTTGTTCGATTTCTTCGATTCCGAGAATCTCGGGTTCTTAGATTGCGCCCAAATCGAGAAAGGACTGGTCGCGCTTCAAATCCCCAGCGTCTACAAGTACGCCAAGGAGCTGTTTAGGGTTTGCGACGCCAATCGCGACGGCCGTGTCGATTACCACGAGTTTCGTCGATACATGGATGATAAAGAGCTCGAGCTCTACAGAATCTTCCAAGCTATTGATTCTGAGCACAACGGTTGCATTTCTCCTGAAGGACTCTGGGATTCTCTCGTTAAAGCTGGTATTGATTTTACTTAACATTCTCCAATTTATTGTTTATTAAAGTCCAAGCCTTTAATGTTTTGTCAAGAACACGATTTGAATATGATCTTCACTGTATATTGGTTTCAGTTGGTGTTATGTGGTTTGGCTCTGTTTTCGTCCTATAAGCCACAACAGTTTTGATTTTGCAGGGATTGAGATAAACGATGAGGAGCTAGCTAGGTTTGTGGAGCATGTTGACAAGGACAACGATGGGATCATTATGTTTGAAGAGTGGAGAGATTTTCTTCTGCTGTATCCTCACGAAGCCACCATAGAGAACATATACCACCACTGGGAAAGAGTGTGTCTTGTAGACATTGGAGAGCAAGCTGTGATTCCACAAGGAATCAGCAAACACGTCAAAAGGAGCAACTACTTCATCGCAGGCGGCATAGCCGGTGCTGCTTCAAGAACCGCGACCGCGCCTCTAGACCGCTTGAAAGTTCTCTTGCAGGTTCAGAAAACCGACGCTAAGATCCGAGACGCGGTGAAGACGATATGGAACCAGGGCGGGGTTCGGAGTTTTTTCCGAGGGAACGGTTTGAATATCGTCAAGGTTGCACCGGAGAGTGCCATCAAGTTCTATGCGTACGAGCTGTTCAAGAACGCGATTGGTGAAAACATGGGTGAGGACAAAGCGGATATAGGCACAACGGCTAGGCTCATCGCCGGAGGTATGGCTGGTGCGGTGGCTCAAGCCTCTATATACCCTTTGGATCTTGTGAAAACTCGGTTGCAGACTTGCACGACGAGCCAGGGAAGTGGTGTTGGTCCGAGGCTTGGAACGCTTACTAAAGACATATTGGTTCATGAAGGTCCTCGAGCGTTTTACAAAGGTCTTTTCCCTTCTCTTCTTGGGATCATTCCTTATGCTGGTATCGATCTTGCTGCTTATGAGACGTTAAAAGACTTGTCCAGGACTTATATTCTTCAAGACTCCGGTAAATCTCTCTCTTTCTTGCTATGTTTTCACATTTTCTCGGAATCTCCTTGACCAGGCTCATAAAACGGTTTCGGGTTTTGTCTTCAGAACCAGGTCCGCTCGTGCAGCTGGGATGCGGAACAATCTCAGGAGCTCTTGGAGCGACCTGTGTGTATCCTTTGCAAGTTGTGAGAACAAGGTAAATTCAATAGCATATTGCTCTCTCTCTGTATCAGTTCTTGTGGGGATTTGAAGTTTGAGTATATGTTTCTGTGGCATAGAATGCAAGCGGAACGAGTAAGGACATCGATGTCTGGAGTGTTCAGGAGGACGATAAGTGAAGAAGGTTATAGAGCACTGTACAAAGGGCTTCTACCGAATCTTCTAAAGGTTGTTCCTGCTGCAAGCATTACGTATATGGTTTACGAAGCTATGAAAAAGAGTTTAGAACTTGATTAGTGTGGTATTGGCTTCACTTCATTTTGATATTGACGAAAAAGAGTGGGAATAATAAAAAAGGAGAGAACCTAGGTTTAAAACTAGGTTATTTTTAACATACTGATTCTTCTAAAACATCATTTGTATGAGATAATGTTATACTATAATATTCTTGTTTCTTCAAACATCTAATTTCTTTTGTTACAAGTATAAAATACTTGTGACCTATAACATGGCGATTCTGGTTCTTGTCTATGAATAGATTTTGCCATTTTGGTGTAGGGGAAGTAAGTTAGGTAACGTATTGTCATTTTGGTGTTAACTGAATGAACATCTTCCCGTTTTGGTTAGGTAGCCACATAAATGATTTGTTTACATGATCATTGATAGAAATGAGAAAAGTACTTGATAACCACAAAAATGAAAAAGAAAGTATTTACAAAGATAAAAGCTGAATCAACCAAAATTAGATAAATCGTCGATATACAACGAGATATTAGTAGTAAATAATTATTGTAAGTACTGATGAACGTGTCGGAGTGGTTATTGTTAGAGCTGAAATTAGCACAATTTCTGAGCCCGTCACAATTAATAATACTATGTAAGTCCGGCCCGTTTCCACTTCCACCTCCTCAAAGAAAAGGAAGTACTTGGAGAAAAAGACTACATCCAAGAAAAATAGAAGGAGATCAACGCCAAAGAAGAATATTTCCAAAAGAAATATGGAAGAATATCTTGAAGAAGCCAACCTCCTCTCCATATAAATAGAAGACCCCCTATTCCTTGAAGACCATCCACAATCCTCCAGAATATTCAGCAAAACCCTAGTTATAATTCGTCCTTTGTTCTTAGCTTCTCTATTCTTTTCGTATTCGTCTCGTCAACCTTTCGTCGAGACGAATCACCCCTTGTACCATCTTTGTCTTTGGTTGATCTAATAAAGAGTCTCTCCTAAACCTCACATCTCTTATCTTACTATTATTGTGTGATTTTGAGATCTAACAATTGGCGCCCACCGTGGGGCTGGAGAAAAAACTCTGAAAAAAGTCAATCAAGGTTCAAAGATGGCACCTCCAGCTGATGATCCCAGCATCAGAACAGGCGGACTGCAAAGTCAACTCGGCGCAGATGGAAACCCCATCGTCCATCCCGTCGAAGTCGACGCGACCAACGGTCACGTCAACCCTCCGCCGCCACCGGTTCCTGACGTAGAAGCTCCCGTCACGACCGCCGCGTTAACCGCCGCCATGCAAGGCTTTGCTGCTCAAATTGCTTCTCAATTCGCCGAGATGCAAGCTCAGCAGCAAAAGTACAACGACAAGATCGACTCCCTCCACGTCACCAGCGACGGACGAGTCATCCCGACGGGACGAACTCTCTTCCAGACGCCGACAAGAAGCACCGCCGCGACTGGCTCCAATGCCGCGACGAATGGTGAGAAAGACACCGACCCGGAAGTGGCCAAGCTGCGCCGCGACCTCGACGCAATCAGCTCCAAAGTGCACGACGCTATCAGCTCGGCACCCGAGATTGCCAAAATCCTCGCCGAGACGAAAAGGAGTCCTTTCACTCGTCGCATCGCCGCGATACCTCTAAAGGATCAAACGGCTCTCCGTCTTCAGTTCTACAACAATGGTGACGATCCTCGAAACTGGCTAAGAAACTTCGAGATGGCCATGAGAAGGCAAAAATATGCCTCCCCCGAAGAACAAGACGCAAATTACTGCCAAGTGTTCATCGAGCACATGAACAAAGACGCGACGAGCTGGTTTTCGAACCTTCCCGCCGAGACCATCGACAACTTTGATGATCTCAGCACGGCATTCATGAAACACTTTGGCATGTTTATGTCAAAAGGCAGCACCAATCTTTTCACTATGGCACAGGGAAAAGATGAGTCTCTTCGCAAGTTCGTCGAGAGATTCAAAACAGCAGCAGCAGAGCACTCAGACATCCCTGACGCGATAGGAATCAAAGCTTTCGAAAACGGGCTTTGGTTCGAATCAAAGTTGAAAGAGAGTCTGATGCTCGACGAACCCGCAACCCTCCAGGACGCTTTGCACAGGTCCCAAAAATACGTCTGCGTTGAAGAAAGCAAGGCGCACCACTCAAAGATTCATGGAATGACGAAGGAGTCATCTCGGCACGCATCATCTCGTCAAGATTCATCTCATCAAGAGTCATCTCGTCAAGAGAATAAAAGGAGGCCTCTAAGGAGTCTTTACAAGGGCAGCGACGAGTCCAAATGGTGCAAACTCCATGGACGAACCGATCATACTACAGAAGAATGTAGGCACGTCATGAGCTTGATACAAGAGTATAGCAATACTCCGCAAAGCCAAAGATGCTGAACGCCGCGACGAAAATCGACGAGCTGCAAACCAGCGCCGACGTAAAATACCGACGCCAAGATGAAGACGACGCCGAGAAGAACGCGCCTGCATCACTCCCTCACCAAGATGATCTGCCTCCGCCGCCGAAACGGCAAGTCCGATAAACATCTCGGCATCAAACCGGTCTCAAGCACGAGACCGAGAAAACGAACTACGAATGGCTTGATCCCGGCATGGGTACGTAGGCAGCCTTTCCAAAGGTTCAGCTATACCCAATAAAATTCTATAATCCGTCTGACGAGATGAGCATTGTAAAATTTTATTCACCTCCAAAGGTACACGTCGACGTTCTGGCCAAACCTCTCGACAACACCGATCTCGTCATCACACGATCGAGCGGTCTCGTCATCACACGAGCCCGAGAAAACAATCGGATCTCGTCATCACACGATCCCGATAAAACCGGTCTCGCCAAAGCGCGAATCCGAGAAAAACATACGGACTGATCATCCATGAGGAGTAAGCCGACGCGAAGCCGTCGCGTCCGAACCGATGGGAATGCCTTCAGACTTTGGGGTGAGCCCGAAAGGTCTGAGGTCTGGAGGACGAAGTCGAAGAAAGTCGAGATAAAACTTCGCATGTTTCTGATCTCTCAGATTCATAACGTGGAATAAGTCGACGAAGTCATCGCGTCCAAACCGGCAAAAATATTCCTTTAGATTTTGGAGGCCGACCAAAGTCGTCGCGTCCCATCCATCTCGAGAGTCGAGAGTCGAGATAAAACTTTGATTATGGAATTATTTCCCCACCATCTCGGCATGAGTATATGATGCATCGTGTCGAACGAGAAAGTAATGAATTACCTCGTCGACTAATCATAACAGCATGCCATGTTCAAACTCGGCACGACGAATAATGATTCGTCGCAACTCTTTAAATGAAGAAGAAATCTTGCAAACCACTTCGGCGACGCGGTCTCGGCATAACTACTTTGTCATCTCGACATCGACGACAGGTCAGTAAATTATTTTGTCAATATATTGATTTGCTGACAAGAGATACCATGCCGAAGTGAGATCAATAGCTCTTCCTTGACGAGCTGTTATCAATGACGAGACGAACGATAATTCCTCCTTGAAAATCTATTGTCAAGTCCGAAGATTTATCCTCCTTGACGACCATATGTCAAGTCCGAGAAAAACAAGAGTTGTCGAAGCGCAACCCCAACCAGTTTCGTCGAAGCACGATCCCGAGGAAAACAAGTGTCGCCGAAGCGCGACCCCAATCAGTTTCGTCGAAGTACGACCTCAATAAGTGTCGACGAAGAGCGACCCTAATCGGTGTCGTCGAAGCATGACCCTAACCAATCTCGTCGAAGCACGAATCCGAGAAAAATCATCACAGCAATCTATTCTCCTTGACGAGACAAAAGAGTCATCTCGTCAAGTCCGAGAGAAATTATCAAAAGCATATTCTATTTGCGGACAAGATTACGTCACTGTACTCTTTTCCCTTCTTATGGTTTTTATCCCATAGGGTTTTTCCATATCAAGGTTTTAACGAGGCAGTACGGATCTAAAGTCAATAACGCAACGCAGCATCACGTCAGCGCAGCATCGCGACAGCATCGGCATCACATAGTTATTATTAATTGCTCTTGAGCTCCTCTTTTATACATGAAGTTCGCCGAGATTAAATTGCATTTATCTCGCCAAACTGGGGGGGACTTATTGTTAGAGCAGAAATTAGCACAATTTCCCTGAGCCCGTCACAATTAATAATACTATGTAAGCCCGGCCCGCTTCCACTTCCACCTCCTCAAAGAAAAGGAAGTACTTGGAGAAAAAGACTACATCTAAGAAAAATAGAAGGAGATCAACGCCAAAGAAGAATATTTCCAAAAGAAATATGGAAGAATATCTTGAGGAAGCCAACCTCCTCTCCATATAAATAGAAGACCCCCTATTCCTTGAAGACCATCCACAATCCTCCAGAAGAATCAAAAACCCTAGTTATAATTCGTCTTTGTTCTTAGTTTCTCTATTCTTTTCGTATTCGTCTCGTCAACCTTGTCGTCGAGACGAATCACCCCTTGTATCATCTTTGTCTTTGGTTGATCTAATAAAGAGTCTCTCCTAAACCTTCACATCTCTTATCTTACTATTACTGTGTGATTTTGAGATCTAACAGTTATCAGGTTCGAATCCTGCCGTTCACGAGTTTTGTTTATTTTTGTCCATTTAAACGAAGAAACACATTTTTCTTACGTGTCATGGGGTTGGACAGCATGTGTTTCTTTTATTCAGATGATAATTGATATATTTTTTCAAGATGCTCTCTTTAATTATTGTGGGCAATAAACACAATAAAACACATTTTGTCATATCAGCATCTAATCTTGAAACAAGTACTATTTTTAATTTAATATTGTTATTGGATTACTCCAATCAATACAAAGGCTACCGTTGTTTGTTTACACCAACATGAAGCGTCTACATCAGCAGACATGGTTTTTTTTATGAGCAATGTTTCCCGTTTGCAGAGAAATACCAACATCTGACACAAAAGTGTAAAAGCTCCATACTGAAAGCATGACAATTAGAAACTGCACAATCTGAGTCAAGAGAAGAACTCCAAATACCAAGAACCTTGCCTGTACCACCGATTGTTGTAGAAGAAGAAGATACAGAGCCTACTCCTCCTCCTTCCCTTGAGATTATAGAACAAGTTATTGAAGAACCACCAGTACAAGACAATGCTCATCCTATGACTATTAGAGCTAAAGCTAGTATTCATAAACCGAATACTAGATACGTCCTGCTCACAGCTAAATCCCCTGGAGGTGAACCTAAGTCTATCACTAAAGCCTTAGCTCATCCTGGCTAGAATAACACAGTTCATACTGAAATTGGAACTATATATATGTTGAATATGTGGAGTTTGGTACCGTACACTGAGGATATGAATGTATTAGGTTGCAAATGGGTCTTCACAACCAAGATGAAACCTGAAGGCTGGATTGACAAACTAAAAGCTCAGTTGGTGGCAAAAGGGTTTAATCAAGAAGAGGGACTTGATTATTTAGAAACGTTCAGCCCTGGAGTAAGGACAACTACTATTCGCATGATACTTGATATAGCAACGGCAAAGGAGTGGCCAATCAAGCAACTTGATGTCTCTAATGCCTTTCTTCTTCATGGAGAATTACAAGAACCTGTGTTTATGATGCAGCCTCCGGGTTTTGAAGATCCAGAAAATCCGGCCAAATCATGTCTGCAAGTTTACTAAAGCTCTTTACGGACTCAAACAGGCTCCGAGAGCCTGGTTTGACACTTGCAGTGGGTTTCTTATTGAGTTTGGGTTTGTATGCTGTAAAGCTGATCCATCTCTATTCACATACTACAAAGATGGAAAGAGTTTGGTAATGCTTGTGTATGTAGATGATATTTTACTCATTGGAAGTGACGATGCTCTATTAAGTGAGATTCTTGAGGCTCTCAATGGGAGGTTTATGATGAAAGATTTGGGAAAACCACATTACTTCCTTGGAGTTCAAATCGATCAAGAAGAAGGAGGTCTGTTTCTACATCAAACTGCTTATGTGAAAGACATACTATTTCAGGCAGCAATGGCTGATTGCAATTCCAATGCCAACCCCCTTTACCACAACAGGTGGAGAATCTTAACTCGAAGTTGTTTCCTAACCCTACTTATTTTCGGAGTTTGGCAGGAAAGTTGCATATTTGACGATTACAAGAGCCGATATACAGTATGCTGTGAACTTTATATGTCAAAGGATGCATGCTCCAACTATGGCTGACTTCAGTTTTCTCAAAAGGATCTTGAGATACATCAAAGGAACAGTTGACATGGGGATGCATATACGCAAAAACAGGGAGCTCACTCTATCAGCTTAGTGAGATAGTAATTATGCAGGTTGCAAAGAAACAAGAAGGTCCACAACCGGTTTCTGTATTCTCATGGGATCTAATCTGGTTTCTTGGTCAGCAAAGAGACAACAGACTGTCTCCAAGTCTTCAACGGAGGCAGAATACATAGCACTTACGGCAACGGCTCAATAACTAACTTGGATTTCGTTTATTCTCAGGGACCTTGATATCACACAATTCGAGCCAACTCTTCTGCAATGTGATAACTTGTATGCGGTGTATCTGAGTGCTAATCCTGCTCTGCACAACAGGTCTAAACACTGTGATACTGATTCTCATTACATAAGAGAGCAAGTTGCATTGGGGTTGATAGAAACAAGTCATATACCAGCTAAGCTTCAGCTTGCTGATATATTCACTAAGTCGTTCCCATGATTAGCTGTTGAAGAGCTGAGAAATAAACTGGGCGTTGGAAGGCAGAGTACGCCAAGTTTGCAGGGGATGTGAGTGAAGTAAGGAAACCATCTGAGATGACTGTGGGCCAAACAACTAATAGAAAGAGAGATGAACGAAGCCCACACAAGTCCATCATGTTATCATCTCAGAAGAAGACAAACAGAGGAAAAGAAGAAAAAGCACAGACCGGAAAAGAGGATTGATATATCCATATCTTTCATGTTTTTATCAAGGTTTTCACTATGTTTTTAATACAAATAATGTGGTTTTTAAGCCCAAGAGGTAGTTTTCTTGTATATTCTGGTTTTGAGCATCATTCAGGTCAAAATAGCAAAGAAGAGTCCAAAATGGAGCAAAAAGAGTCAAATCACCAAGTTCCCAAGTCTAGAGCACCAAAATCTACATTTCTCGCTAAAGACCAAACCGGAGCATCCGAAGTACGACCGCATGTTCATGCCTTCCCGACGTCCAAAAGTCATGATTCTTATATGGAAAGATAGATATTTGAGTCGTGACCCGCGGCGAAGTGGAAAGAGGTCATTTGGATCACTCGTTGGACCGGAACTTATTTTCTACCAAGACATGTCCGACGAGCGCCTAAGTAGAGCCCATGGAGACTTTGATGGATCAAGAGGCCCGAGATACCGCGCCCAAGGCCTTGGCTCATCTTGACACTAGCATAACTCAATCCAGAAGCTTCCATTGGCCTGAACGCGGCCCATTCAAGAACTTGGAGAGCAAGCTCAAGCGGCTAAAGAGAAATGGAAACTTTCCTCTTCTGCGCGCGCTCAACTTTGCCGACCTAGACCCGCTCTCTACCTATATATACTTGCTTTTAGCCTCTTGTAATAAGAATCACCAGCCGCATAACAAGAAACACTTATTCAATAAAGTTCGGAGCCACTTAGGTGGTCTCCTTCTTCTTTCTTTTCTTCTTTTGCATTTGTATATAGCTTGCATGTTTCAATTTATATAGTCTAGAAGTAGAGATTTCTCCCTAAGGGTGAGGCGTGGTTTAGTCTATATTCCGCCGCCTCTCTCTCTAAGGATTCATGAGACTTCATCTACTATCTAAGACTCATTGTTGAATTATGGATCCTTCCAATGAGGACGTGATATAATGGCCATCGAAAATCGATTGTTAAAAGGGGAAACCCTATGGTTCTCCATCTTTATTTATGCTTAATGCCTGTTGCTAGAGTAGCTAACTAGTGACTTGATTTTAGGTTGATATACTCTCCAAAAGCTTGTTATATCTCCGGATATAGTATTTGATGGGCAAATCGTTTTAGGCTACGAAAGTAGACCTAAAGAGTTTTGTGAACAATCATTACTTGGATGTAATGCATGTCTCACTCTACAATGACCAACGAAAGCTGAGCCCATTGGTTTAAGAGACATAGGGGATTGGAACCACGAAAGTGGAATAATCCTTCCTTAGTGTTTTGAGTTCAAAAGAATCGGATTTTAACAAACTTTTCAATCGACTTGGCTCATGTTTTCAAAAGAGTTTTCAATAGTTCAATAATGTTGCTTGTATAGAATTGCATTGTTATTTCTTTTGCGTGTTCTAAACAAACACAAACCCTTGCATATTTTGATTTAGCTTAGTCATTTAAACTCTATGATTATGTAATGTGTGAAATCCAATCCCTTGTGGTTCGACCCCTAAATACTACAATTATATGTTGTGCACTTGCAACACTAGTTGTCTTAGGGAATTATTACTTGTACTCATCCCATAGATGCCGCATCAAGGATCAATGCCGAGAAACCGCTTCTATCCATTGGCAATGGATCAAGATGCTTGCCTACTTTACAGCTGTGTTAGGATAAGATCTAGAGTATTCTGAGCTCTCTTTATATATGAGTTGTATTCAGTAATGTAAAAACTTGTCTTGAATAAAAGTTTAAGTTGAAAAACTCAAACTTTATTGTTTACTCACAAGTTTGAGTTTCTAAACTTAGAGTATAACGCCCCGACCGCCCCTTCCGGTGAGTCACCCACGCCCTCTCTCTGGGCCCGCAGGCCCATCTCGGCCCGTGGGCCTCACCTCTGTCTGACGGCCGGTCCGTTATTTTTGAGAGGCTCTAATGACTTGTCTACTATCCCTGCAATCAACACCCGACCTTTCCCCGTGTTTTGGCCTCACTCACACGATTTCGGAAACCACTTCCCGGAAGGTCACCCATCCTTCAACTACTCCAGCCTAAACACGCTTAACTCTGGAGTTACTTATAGACCTTTGACCAAAAAGGTAAGTGCACTTTATTGACATAGGTAGCCAAATCAATTCTCTTAAGCCTCTTTTCATTTATCACAAATCGGGATGTTACATAGAGCATCTCCATTAAGGGGTTTTTGTATGGGTATCTCATAACGTCATAATATATATACATAAAATACTGAAAAGAAAAGAGAGAGAAGGGTTCTCATTTAAAAATCTTTGACATACCCCGAAAACCTCAAATCACATGTATCACTCTTGAATTGGTTCAAGTTCTTTTAAAATGTCAAAGTTTAATTCTAAAATGTAATTACATTCGGGAATTTGCATCCAATATACATAAAAAAACACAATATTAAGGATCTATCCATTAGAAAGGGTTGTTACGATATACTACATATTTTATATAATATTTAGAAGAATATCCTTCTTCATCTTTACCCTTATTTCATAACTCGACTTACGGCTAAAGTTCAGCTTAGAAAGGACAAAAGTCAAAATAAAGGACAAATTCTTGAAATTAGGGATTGTTTTCCTGATTTGCTTCTGTCAACATTGAAATCATCGAATTCGAGAATTATGTATCACTGGTATTTGGAAGTGTGGAGTTGATAGTGAAAAGGATTTCTAAGTGCTTGTCTTCAAGAAATCTGTATAGATTATACAGATTTGGTTAACTCTGTTTTCACTATTTCTGTCTATTCCTAAATATTGTTTTATCTTCGACATCTTAGATTTCTCTTTCCTGTTCCACATCTTAGATTTTGCTTCTCTGTAACTATCTCCGGTTATACTGCAACCTTCAAGTAATGGCTTGTAATTTTCTTGTTGGATTGTTTCTGATAATTCGAAGGTGATATTTGCCAAAATAGGTGTCTTGACTTGCCGTAGATGGTTTCTGTGTGATGAATCTTGAAGGATATATGATTGTATTTCTCGGTCGATTCCGTTGTATGTGTGAGTACATGAGAAAGGGGATTTATAAATTACGCTTTATATGTGTAGTGTTAATGATAAAGTCCCACATCGGAAGTTGGAGAAATAACTAACTAATATATAAAGGGCTAGGGCCTCTCCACCTATTGCCAATTGGTTTTAGGTTGGATGCCAAGGAAACTTAACATGGTATCAGAGCAATGATCCCCACACTCTCATGACCCGGCCCAGAAAGGGCCCGACCCCCGACCCTAGGATTGATGGTCTGCGAGATTAATGGCTAGAATGGCCATTATCTCGAGGGGGAGTATTGGGATATTGACCTCTAGAGAGTGTGCAAGATAAAAGTCCCACATCGGAAAGTGGGAGGGACCTTGAATAATATATAAGGGACTGAGGCCTCTCCACCTATTGCCAATTGGTTTTAGGTTGGATGCCGAGGAAACTTGACATGGTATCAGAGCAGTCGATTCTGGGCCACCCCGTGGATGTTGTTCCCACAATTACCCACGCTTCAGATGATGATCTCTGAGCGTGAGGTGGGGTGTTAATGATGAGCCACCCGATGTTGGGCCACCCCGTGGATGTTGTTCCCACAATTGCCCACGCTTCAGATGTCCTCTGAGCGTGAGGGGGGTGTTAATGATGAAAGTCCCACATCGGAAGTTGAAGAAATAACTAACTAATATATAAAGGGTTAGGGCCTCTCCACCTATTGCCAATTGGTTTTAGGTTAGATACCCATACTTAACCCGAATTTGACATTTAGACAGATTTTCATTGTTTTTAAGACTATTTCTTTGTGTTTGTGAGTTGATTATGTAATTTTTTTTTTTTTTTTTTTTTTTTTTATAGAACTCTTCACAAATATAATGGAGGAGATGGGTTTACCAGAGAAACTGTTTCAGACTGGTTTTGAACCTACAGGCAGAAAACAAGTCAACATTGATCCTCAAACCAGCACTTGAGAAAAAGTACATCAAAATCTTGAAAGTAGATAATGGACAAACATAACAGAGAAATGGTTGCTGACATTGACTCTTTTTTTAAATATCCTTGGGGTCGTAAGTCGATCTTGTTGACTGTTGAAAGTGCAAAGGCGAGGTCTACAGCGCAATATGTACAGAAAGAAGACAATGGTGATGCACTAGTAGATGATGACAGTAATATAGAAGATGTTGGGAAATTCGTAGTGAACATCGATACTAGGTTGTCATCAATCAAATGAAATCATTTTCTAAATGTTTGGATTTGATATATTTTATGTTTTCCAAATCAGGTTTATCAGCAGTTGTAGCCTTTGTTCTTTTGGAGTTACATGCAACAAACCAGCTAAGTTGTGCTAAGCTTGGTGATGTGATGGTCAAAACCGCTGGTCGATGTTATGCTGTTGATTGCTTATCCTTGGAATAAATTTGATTTCAGTGCGAGTGCTTTTTTTCATGGTTCTCTATGTTCTTTGGAGGATTTTTTTCAATTCATCTTCTTCTTTGTTTTGCATTGGTTGTTTTGCTTATGGTTGGTGATTTAACTTGATTGGAGCAATGTTTCTGTTGTTTGTAATAGATAATCTTATTGAATATGGATTTGTTTTGTCTGTATTAAATCTTGTTAACAAATCAGAAATCATATGTTTTGTTTATGTTTATTGTTTTTTTATTTTATTGATTCTTCACGATTATTGACTGCTAGTTAAGTGTTTATATGTGTTAAGTGTTTATGCTTTATGTGTTGTTGGTTTTGTGTATGTTATTTTGGTTTTGGGGGTCGCTGTATAGTGGTGTTTAGGCTTTATTTAGTGTTAATATCTTATGTGTATTTGGTACTGTGTTTAGGGTTAATTGATTGTTTTTTTGGGGTTCGCATTATAGTGTGTAGGGTTTTATGATTGGGTTTAGGGTTTAGTATTTAGGATTTAGTGTTTAGTTTTTAGATTTTAGGGTTTAGGTTTGATTGTTTAGGGTTTTTGTTGTAGACTATAGGGTTTACGTAGTTGTGATGATAATTAATTGATATCCATACTATTTGATATTGTATAGTATGTGTATATAATGTTGTCTATCAATGTAATCTTTATGTTTCATATCTTGCTTCTTAATTTCTATAGAATATCGGTTCAGAAACAGTTTAAATCGAGTTAAGTTAAATCGGTTCACCGCATTATTATTATTATATTACGGTATGCCTATATATTTCTCTTCTTGATGGAGTTCCCAAATTCACAGTCTTCTTCGCTATATTCCCTAAATCGATAAGTGAATCATCAACGAGGAGACAATTTCATCTTTATAAAGAGGTAAATTTGGGACTACTAGTTTATTGATTTTAGTACTCTTCTATTTTCAGTTTGAAATGTTTGTTAGCCTTATTAATGAGATTTGCTGATATTTTGTTTGGTTATGGAGATTTGTAATTGTTTACCGTCATGAGTAATATTTCTGCAAATTCAAGTGGGATTTCAAACTCTCGAGAAAGAAGAAGAGTTTTTGGTATTCCCAGGAAATGCTGGTGTGGCGCAGAAATTTTGGAACTGATCTCTAAATCTACTCATAATCCTTATAGGCGATATTATCGGTGTTCTTTGGCTGTGTCACGTAAGGTAATTTTTAATTAGTTTGGCTATAATTTGTATTAGTATTTGTGGAACTTGTAATAATCTGTGTAATTGTGGTGTTTCAATTTCCTGCAGCTTAGTAATGATAATCATTGTTTCAAATGGGTTGATGAGGCTTTTGTTGATGAGATAGAAGAACTCTCGTCGGGTTTGAAGGAAATGGAGCATAGTCTTATAAAAGCGAAAGAAGTTTCAATGGTTATTGACAATGGTTTGAGTGAGAAGGTTCAGGGTTTGGTTGAAGAAGATATTGCTAGACGTTTGGATAAATTTTTACCTTCTGGGAGTTCAAACATTCGTAATTTCATGTTATTTTTTTTATTTTGTACTTTTGTGTTTGTTTGCAAGCTAAGTTAGGACTTTAATCTATGTGATTGTCTATTGTCAATTTGCTAATCAAGCCAAGAGGCTTATGTGTTTTGTATTTACTATCTTCTGTACTTGTACTTGTACTTATGTGTAATATGTATTTTCAAAGTTTGTTTTATGTATTTGTGTGAAAGAATATATATGTTACAGTGTTTTATATTTTAAAGAGACCAAATCTTATTATATAAAGCTCGATGCGCACGACGTGGTTGCGACACGTAAGATTTTTATAAAATTCAGAATCGCGACATGTGTCACTTTTAAGTTTATGTCCGTTAAGATCGTGACACGTGTCTTAGGAAAAAAAAGAATTTAAAAAAAAAAATCCAGAAAATTGATAATTTAAAAAAACGAAATTTAATTTAATCTATTAAATCAAAAAGGAAAAAAAAAATATTTGCCAAATCCAAATAGAAAAAGATTTCCCATTAATCAATTTTTTATTATATAAAGTTATATGCTCACGACGTGGTTGCGATACATATGATTTTTATAATTTATAAGATCGCGACATGTGTCACTTCTAATGTTACGTCTGTTAAAATCGTGACACATGTCTTAGAGAAAAAAAAAGAAAAAAAATAGGGCTTCTTTCACTTCTAGTACAAGATTTGTGGTCAAATACAAAAGTAGTCTCCATTGTAAAATGTGTTTTTTTCTTCTTCCTCTATCCTCATCATAATCAAATAATAACGGAAATGCCATTACTTTTCCACACGAAGTCTAACTGTGAAGTCTAATTGAAAAAAAAATTATCCAAAGTAACCTCATCTTCTTCATATATTCACGAAAATGCCATCACCATCAATTCGTCCAACAACCATTCTCAACCGAAATGAAGCTTTGAATGCAAGATTTATTCTTGAAATATATCTACCAACTCATTCTATCATCTCATAAACTTAGTTCATCATCTTTCTTCTCCATTTTCACCCAAAGAACTTAGTTTTTCATCTTTTCAAAATTAAGGTTCTTAGATCTTGCCATTTTCGGTGTCTGAGCTCATTCTAACCGTTGGGGAAGTTTGCTGAAGCTCTAAAACGAAGTTCTAGGCCGCATAGAAACTTAAGATCACGGCAAGGTAAAATTCTGATAGATCTGAGTGAATTTCATATTTTTGCAGGTCCTTAGACTTCATAGCGAAGTCTAACAAACTAGTTTTGCAATTGAGTTTTCAAAAATTTTAGAGAGTAGACTTCACAATGAAGTCTACTCCAAATTCGTTTGATAACAAAAAAAGACGAATTAAACTTCCCGAACTTTATTATGAAGTCTAACTCGAAATAGACTAGTTTTGTATTTGTTCGCGTAAAATCTTTTTACGAGAAGTCTAACCGTGAAGTTTGCTTAAAATAAAAGACTAGTTTTGCAATTGACCACGCAAGACTTTTCTGTAAAGTCTATTAATGAAGTCTATTTAGCCTGTATTAGACCTCACAATGAAGTCTACTCACGAGTAGACTTCATTGCGAAGTCTAATATATGATAGACTTCTTCATGAAGTCTAATAGTCAACGTTTTTTTAGATAGACTTCCTCGTGAAGTCTACATACCGAAGTTTAAAATTTGGACTATTGCAAAACTAACCCATATGAAGTCTAACTCTCTCCGTAGACTTCACCGCTAGACTTTATTATGATGTTAGACTTCAAATTGAAGTCTAAGTACATTGATGAAGTCTATTCGGAGAGGTCAACGTTAAGTCAATTGCAGAACTAATCATTTAAAAAAAAGTAGACTTCACGGCTAGACTTAGCCAAAAACAATTTGTTTCGTTAATTGCAGAACTAGTCTATTAGACTTCACCGAGAAGTCTAATTTGTAGACTTCACCGTGAAGTCTAATATTTTACGTTTTTTTTTAAAACGAATTTTTAGAAAATGTATATCGAAATTTATAATTTTGTTTAAACAGTTAGTTGTATTAGTCTATGTAGTTGCTTTTGTGTGGGTTTTATATACTTATTCGTTATATACTAAGTTTAAACGGTTTTCTTATTTAATTAGCACTTTAGACATTACTAAGTAGACTTCATACCGAAGTCTACCTTTGAAGTCTACGGACAAAGTCTGTTTTTCCTTTGCATTTCTAATGTTGTTTTGTGGTTGTTAACTTGTAGAAAATGGTCAACATCACTTCTGATTATGGAGAATGGTGAGAAAGGACAATATGTTGTGGCATTTTGAGGTTGAGTATCGCAAAGGAGGGAGAATGTTCTGTTTGAGGGATGATTGTACACATGATGAGCTTGTTCAAATGGCCTTAGATGATTATTCGGTGAACAACAACGGATTTGAGTTATCATATCTATAACCAGAACCATTCACTCAGCAATTGCCTCTTGATTATCCGCCTATGTATGTCACAAAGACAGACGTTTAGCTGTGAAGTCTACTCGTGAAGGTTAACTACTTGTTTAGAACTTAGTATGTTTTACCTAAGGTAAAATGCATCAAAATGGTTGTATCTGTGTTTTTTTTTTAAACCTATAAAGTCTATTTGTGAAATCTACTCCTAAAATCTAATATTTGTTTGAACTTGGTTTATTTTGTGTTCACAAGTTGGTGCAAAAGAGAGTTTTACATTCTGTGTTTGTGTCATTTGATACTCTCTGCTTTCTTTCTTTTTTTTTTGTGAAATTTGGTCATATAGCTACAAGTTGTTGTTATTTCAAAAAGGAAAGTTTAGGTCTTGATGTTCAGCTCTCTGTCTTGAATAGTTTATTTTAAATTGTAAAATGTAAATGAAACATGAGACTGTGTCAAACGTCTTGACTCAGACCCCTAAATCATTCATATATATCCATCCACACAAAAAGGAGGCTGATCATAAAACTTGCAAGCCAAAGCAGAGCATAACGCCAAGAATGAATGGGACAATCCGGTTTAGTCGAAGTCAAGAAACTCCATTCTCTTCCTCACTGTTCCACTCAACTCACTCGCTTCCCTCTCCACCTTTGGAGCCTACAGGATTACACACCCAGAAACTGAATCCAATCTGCAAAGACACATTAAAAAAAACGTGAGATATCTATGAACAAAGAAGAGCAACGAAGTAAATGGCGCCAAGAGAGGCTCAACATAGACGTTCTCATATTCAAAGACATCCTTTCTATCAGTGCACTAATACAGTTCCAGAAACTTTGATAACAAAACAAATATAACTATAACATAACTATATATAAGCAAGAAAGACAAAATTACTGACTTAAAACATCAAACGAAGTAAGCTCTTACACACACACATACACACTTACAAGAATATGATCTACTTAGCTGCAATCATATAAAAAGATGACACCAAGAATATGATCTAGTGAGCTGCAATAAGATATTACAGAGGAAAATAAGAACAGCTACAATAAGCATTGAAAATTCTACAATCTCCAGCAAGAAAATTGAAAGAGCAAAGAGAAGAGGAGAGAGATCGAGCACCTGAGATAATCAAAACTGCTTCGTTAGATAAGGAAGAAGAAGACCCATTCAGCTCCATACAAATACACCCTGCAACACAATTAAGAAGCTTTCAGCCTAATTTTTTTGTCTTTAATAACTCTATAGAAACAATCATGAATCAAAAAGCTAACCTATTTCTTGAATAAAACAAACAAGACAACTCAAGGAAGCAATTAGAGACAAATAGATCATAAAGAGAGTTGAAATTGGCACAAGACCACACCACAAATACAATTTCGTTACAGGCATAAGCACAAAGATACAGTCCAACATGAACACACAAGCAAAAAAAAACTAAAGGAAAGAGAAGAATAATTAGAGAGCTGAAGACGGAGAAAGAAGAAGAATAAGGGCTTACAGTTATGAAAACAGGCGAGAGATTTTGCGGAGGTTCACGGCAGGATCTGGAAGATTCTCGCCGAAGATTCAAAGGCTTCTCTATCTCAAACATTCCATCACGAAAAGCTACATAAAACAAAACCAAAAAGAAAAACCCGTCAAACAACAAAAACAAGCATGGAGCTGCAGTAATAAAGCGTAGAATTTGACTCATCCACTCAAAGAAGAGGTTCAACATAGCTTACTTGAGACGTTGAGCAACAGCAACCTTGGTTCCGATCTCACGGTTGATGCAGCATTGGCTCCAGCGATTTTTGAACTATCTTCGTTTAATCTCCAATCTCTGTTAATCAATCAAACACCAGAGATTAAAAAAAATACAAAAATTTGATCACTAAAAGACCTAAAATTAAAGAGAACATGATTTCTGATTTCATAGGGAGCTGTAGTTAGCATCGAATCTATACCTCTCTAAAGCTTTCTTCGACTTCTCTAACTCTCTCTGTTTCCTCGCCCTAGCCTTTGCTTTATCGACGGGACCAACGATCTCCTCCGCGGTTTTCCAGAATCCGATACCAGATGAGATGAGGTAGATGGAAACAAAAGAGAAAAAACCACATTCAATAGATATAAGAACACATTCGCAGCAGGAAAATTGAAAACAGGAATTAAAGTGAAAGAGAAGCGAGCTAACGGCTGTGAAAGGATGAAGCGAGAGAGATTCACCTTGCAGGGAGAGAGATCCAATAGTGAGAGGGAAGATGCGAGGATAAATGAGCAGCAGAGAGAGGGAAAGGAGAAGACGAGAGAGAGAGAGAGAGAGAACCGAGATAACGGGGTGAAAGGATGAAGCTAGGGAGAGAAGGGAGAGGAGGCGGTGGTTAATGGCGAGGAGAGGCGGCGGTGGTTAACGGCGACTGACAGAGAGATGAAATTAGAGAGAGAAGGAAGAGGAGGCGGTGGTACATATTTTTTTCTACAAAATTAGGGTTATTCCTTTATATATCAAGATAAAATTCCGGTTAGGTGATAAAATTTCCGGTTAGATGAAACAAATTTTTGGTTAAATTCGGTTCTAATAGACTTTATGATGAAGTCTACGCACGAAATCTATGCATGAAGTTTAAGATTTTGTGATTTAGTAGACTTCTTCAGTAGACTTCACACAAAATATTTCTGATTGCAGCCCAAAATATTTCGTATCCCGCCCAAATTATTTCATTTCCCGCTCGCTTTTTTTAGTGACAGACTTCTCCACGAAGTCTAACCCTGAAGTCTACATGTGAAGTCCGACTTACCCTAAACCCTAAAACGAATTTTTAAGATCAACACTATAGGAAACATTAATTATGTATACATAATCACAGTTTACATTATAAACTACGAATTGGTAAGTTTTAAATCGTTAAACGAACCGCAAACATTTTTTTGGTCAAAACTATCTAAACCCTAACAATGCTCTTGATAAACCCTATACAATATACCTCAAACACTTAGATGTTGATTGGTTTACTCATGAAACTTATAAATTGATTCATTTTCATGAAATTTTATTTTCCATAGGTAGGACTTGTCTTTATTAAAATTATGTATAACTTTTTTTATCAAAATTGTTTTTTATAGATTTTAAACTTTAAATTTTAGATTTTATTATAAAGCAGACTTCATCAGTAGACTTCACACAATTTGTTGGGAATTATACCATAATTTGTCTTACTTGATTTAAACTGATCGGTTTATATGCAAATGTTTAATTAAAGTATTATGAACTTATCTTCTTCTTTAATTATTGTTAACTAGATTAAGGTCCGCGTATACGCGGATATATTTTAAGATTTTATAATAATTAAAAGCATGGAAAATATTAAACAAAATTTGATCATTTTTAAACGTAAACAAAATAATATTGAAAACCCGATAAAAATATTTAATAAAATAAGATTGGTAATACTTTTACATTTTTAATATTTTACAACAAAATACGGGAGACTAGCTAAGCCGTATATACAATGGGCATTATGGTATATTTTCAGTCTAAATATAGAGTTATATTTCATGTATGAATATAACTCTCTATTTAGATAACCTAGACCCACAAACGGCTACTGTGCAACCTACACATCATATATTGATGTGTTCATTCATTATTTCAAGCTATTAACAGATAGTTTTTTATTTCCCAGCTGGTTGACCCCGTTAAAGACAGCTGTGATCATATGGGGTAACGACAAGACGACTTGTTGTGTCCCTGGCGGCTACAATGACTGCATCTACGCCCACCATTCTTTCTTCCAGGACGCTGAAGAGTTATGAAAATGGAACCATTTTAATATTTTAAATCATTGTGAAGCTTAATGAATGAGTTTTGTACCTTGAATTCTCCACGAGACAGAATGCAGATTTTCTTTGGTCTTCCTGTTGGGCATTTAACATCTGGTGGAAGCAATTCTCCTCTAAAACCATCTCCTATTTCCACATTACCGACTGATGGAACCGGATAAATCTTCTCCTCAAACCCAATTTTCCAACTAGTGTCGTAGAAAGCTTTGCAAACCATAGTGTTTGTTGGTATCTTGATACTTGCTGCTGCAGCAATTGCATGGTCACATGGAATCCCTAGCTGTTGATATTCCATACATGAGCAAGTTCCCTCCACCAATCTAACTGTGAAACATTCCCCTTCTTGTGCTTGGACTTGGAATTCGAATTGACTTATTTCACGAACTGCAAGGCCAGTGGAGTCTTCGAAGTTCTTTTCAATTATTTTATTCACATGTGGCGTCAGGCTATCTTCGTTTGAGGTTCCTTTAGCACGCCTAATAGCAAACCAGCTCATAACAGATGTTCAAATGTATTCAAGCATGCATATCAGAGGATATTCCCTTGCTTTTCCATGATTCTGCAATATTTGAATCCATGATGTTGTATCTCCTGCCTTTGAAGTGAACTCTAGTCCAATGTTCAAATCCTGAATCCATGTAAAATTAAAGATTAGTTAGTTAATTATGTTTTTAAAAACTGAGATGCAACACTGAACTATATTATATAAATGTAAGGTTCAGTGATGACTTACCAATATCGACTAAATAAGCAATGCATCCTGGACTTATCTTCCGTATCTCAAGGAATTTTTTGTTAAACTCTGGAGTAGTGAAAGCTCTAGCCGCAGCAGAGACAAGAATGGCAACACGGCGGGGCTTGTAATCGAATCTTATGTTTCTCCAAAGATGCACAACACAAGTAGCATGATGCGCTAGAGGAAAAACCTGAGATGGGGAAAAAATATTCTAAGGTTTCAAATGTGTTTCAGTAAATAAATCAGTAACTAAACAAAATATATAGTAATTTGAAAACATGTAAGAATATGTATCTTACTCTCTCAAATCCGTTGTTTATGCTTGGGTGTCGATCAGAGACAAACACCAATTCTGATGAATCAGGAACAAAAGTATTCAGCTTCTCAAGGAACTACTGCCAAGAATTGTCGTTTTCGCTATCAACTATTGCAAAGGCTAGTGGGAAGATTTGAAAATTTGCGTCTTGTGCACAGACAGAAACTAAGACACCTTCATATCACCCTTTCATATTCGTTCCATCAATCACAATAACTTTTCTTATATATTGAAATTCAGCCACATAAGCACCATAAGCCACAAAGCAATCACTACAGGAAAAATGGGTATTCTTAGCATTCGAAAAACGCTATCTAATAATACTATAGCGTTGTAGAAAGCGCTATGTCTGCGCCCGTCATAATAGGTCACACACTTTTCATAGCGATTTTCAAAAGTGCTATTATAATTTTATTTGTTATACCGGTCTTTCGTACGCAATCTTAAAATCTACTATAACAGTTTTATTCTGTTATTAATTGTTGTTTTCATAGCGTTTGTTTTCAATTTTACAATAGCGTTCAGTTCATGTAATGGTTTTTCCCAGAATTTGAATTTCTATAGCATTTATATTTCTATTAGTTATTTTAATAATAGCATTTGTACTTGTAGTTTTACTAATTACTTTCGGATAAACTGAAATTGAAAACTGAAATGTCATATTTTTATTTTTATTATATGAAACCATGATAACAAATTACAAAGACCTATATTACAAAGTAAATGTACATATCTAAAATATTGCACTTAAACTTCTGAATTATATCTACAATCTTGGTCTCTTTGACCTCCGATCTTGGAAACTTCTTCTTCAATATCAACAAAACCAGTTTCCTTCTGCAACAGAATTAATATTTCAATGTTAGTACTTAATAATACTATAAGTAATTTTTCAAAGTCCTTAATTACAGTAAGAAGGACAAAAGCAAATACACCAAGTATTTTCAGGCTACTCTCAAGTTAAGCGAGCAGCGTCAGTTTAGTTTCTAAACTTACAATCAACTTTGCCGAACCAATCCATCTTCAGGCAACTATAAACTCCGTTTCTTCCCTGCATATTCTGGTAACTTGAGGCTCTGCATTACACGATTTCAAAATCTGCAGCAAGTTGACTTGAAAGTCATTCAATTAGACAATTACAACTAAATCCACTAATGAAGCTCGAATTGAGATTAAGTTAATGGTGGAACAAACCTCAGAGCCTGAAGAAGCTATTGTAGAAATTACGTGAAATCCCACTGACCTCTTATCGCCTAAAATCAACAAGGTGATGAAAATCGTTAAATTAGCCAAAAATCAACACTGTAATAAGAGCAAAAAAAATTCATGGTCGATGAAATTGGATCAAAGAGAAAGATTCTAATTGCTGTGTATATCTCACCGTGAAATTTCTACTTCGGAGAGAGAGAAAGAGATTCGGCAACGCAATGAAAATGTTCGGGATTTGTCTACCTATCTAAAAAGACAAGAAGAAGAACGAGACAAACAGCAGATTCATTCAATTAAAAAATCGTAGTAAGCAAGAGAGATTATGTTTTTCCAGATCTGAAATTTTGATTTTGGAAGAGAAGATGCAGAGCAATAGTGGAGACAGGAAAAAAGGCAGAGTAAATCGGGTAGAAAAAAATAAAAATCAATGAAGGCTCACGATTTTGCCACGTCATCGATCCTTGTGATCTCTTGTTATTGGTTATACGAATAAACAATCTAAAATTGTGTTTTTAATAGATACTATTAGGCCTGGGAATTTAAACCGAACCGAACTTACCGAACCGAACCGAACCGATGTTTGAGTAGTTCGGTTTGTGTTGGTTACAGGTTGTTAACCGATCGGCAACAAATATAATTATATTCGGTTATCGGTTACTTCGGTTCGGTTCACATGAACCGAACGGTTAACCGAATTAAAAACACAGATTTAACTAAACCTAAATTATAATTATAGTCTAAACCTATGTGCCGCCACAGACACATCTCAATCTCTCGACACCCTCTTCATCCTTCTCTAGTTCTCTACTTCATCTCTTTCTTCATATCATCCTTGCCTTGTCTCTTCGATCCTAATTCATTTCATCTCACTCTTCATCTCGTTTTCGTCTTCCAATCTCTCGACACCCTCTTTCAATTTCGTCTCAGGTAAACTGATTTTCTAGTCCTCGTTATTTTTCTTGTTTGTTTCTAAATCTTAAGTCTTAACAATCCAATCTACTCAAAGTATAGTAGATTTTATTTAGAAATGGGTCTAATTTTTACAGAGCGTCTATATTGTTTGGTACTCAATGGTTGTTTTGATTTTAAATAAATTATATGGACTTGATTCTTCTTCTCAATTTGGGTGTTTGGTTTTTGCAGATGGCTTCTTCTCACGATGAGAATGAGGACATATTTGATGATGAGATGGCAGGAGAAGAAGCTTCAGAACCGCCTCCTGTGAACAAAAGAAAAAACAGTGGGAAATCAAGTTCTTCTGTACCACCAAAACCAAGGAAAAGGATTGCTCATAGAGCAGAGGTATGGAAATTATTTCTTCATAACCGTCCTGATGATCCGATGTGCTTTTGCCGTTCCTGTGATGTAGAGATAGCTTGTGATTCAAAAGTGAATGGAACAAGTGCTATGAAAAGTCACATAGCACATTGCAAGTTGTATAAGGCTTCTCAAGAGAGTGGTACTCAACAAGTGTTGAGAGCAGACAGTAGTGGTGTAGTAACGGCTCTTAGGTTTGATAAAGGAATTTTTAGGAGATCGGTGAATGAGATGATTGTACTTAATGAGCTGCCGTTTTCTTTTGTGGAATCAGAGGGCTTTAGGCGTTTTTGTCACAATGTTATTCCTATGTACACGGTTCATTGTAGAAAGACAGCTACGGAAGACATTTTTAAAATGTTTTTGCAAGAGAAAGCTTCGTTGAAGAAGTTGTTTAGCTGTGATAAGAAGAGAGTGTCGCTCACAACAGATATATGGGTTGCTCCAACTACCTCCATTAGTTATATGGTTGTGACATCTCACTGGATTGACGTAAACTGGGATTTGCAGAAAAGGATCCTCAGCTTTAAGCCTATCACAGATCATAAAGGAGATACAATTTCTGCACATCTCATATCTTGCTTAGAAGAATGGGGAATTGAGAAAGTCTTCACAGTCACAGTTGATAATGCTAAGGGAAATGACAAGGCGCTGAAGGTATTCACGGATTGTTTAAGGCTGAAGGGAGATAAAGCTTTAGTTAAAGATGGTGCATATTTGCATATGCGTTGCTGTGCTCACATCTTAAACTTGATTGTCAGAGATGGTTTAGCACATGTGAGACAGAGTATAATAGCTATACGCAATGGAGTGAAGTATGTGAGGTCATCACCTGATAGATTGAAAACCTTTGAAATAAGGTTAGATGCAGGAAAGGTTTCTCGAGACAGCTTGTCCATGGATTGCATCACACGCTGGAACTCTACATATCTTATGTTGACAGCTGCAATCAAGCTAAGAGTTGGTTTTGAGAACATGAGGGCAAATGAAATTCCTTATAATAAATACTTTGAAGAAGAGGAAGAGAATGGAGAGGAACGGGTTGGACCACCAACTGAATCTAGTTGGGATGAAGTGGAGAGGTTTGTGAAGTTCCTGAGAATCTTTTTCAATTCTACTTTGCGGTTTTCAGCATCTAAGACAGTAACTTCTACCATATGTTACGAAGAGGTTGTCAACATTGAAAGAAATCTGATCCTTTTAAGTAACAACAAAGATGTACAAGTAAGGCAGGAAGCAACGACTATGAGACTGAAGTTTGAGAAGTATTGGGATGGTCTTATAAATATGAATCCACTAGTTATTATTGCTTGTGTTTTTGATCCAAGGAACAAAATGAGGTTTGCTACACGCTGCTTTGACAGCCTTTATGGTAAAGATAGTTTTGAAAGTAAACTTCTTAAAACCTCTATTAAGAAGGTTATGCGTGATCTGTATGAGGAGTATGTATTGGAAAACAAACATCTTCACGGTGAAGAAGCTGTTGTAAATGGAAGTGAGAATGCTGAAGAGCCAAGTGTTGCTTTTGATTTATCAGATGATGAGTATGAGAGGATGGATTCCTTGTATTCTGATATGGATGATGAGGATGACAATGAGGAAGTAAGCAGTGAGTTAGACATATATTTGATGGAAAAACAGGAGCCTCGAGATAAAAAAAACAGTTTAGGATTGAATTATAATGTTTTATCATGGTGGAAGCGTAACAGTGCTAAGTATCTTATCTTATCGGAGCTAGCTAAGGACGTCCTTGCTATTCAAGTTTCTTCTGTGGCTTCTGAATCAGCATTTAGCACTAGTGGTAGAATATTGGATCCTTACAGAAGTTGTTTGTCACCTCACATGGTTGAATCTTTGATATGTTCACAACAATGGCTGCGAAATTCCATACATTCTGAGGCAAAACTTGCTTCCTTAGCGCAAATGCTTGAAGAACTTGATTTCCATGAATCATTAGAGAAAGGTACAACAAGTATAGTCATTTTGTCTTTCTGGTTTTAAGTTTTTTAGTTTCAGTCATGTTTTCTTGTCCACTAATGTATGTTCTTTGTGAATTTTCAGCAACAGAGACGTAGAGATTGCATCAGAAATGAGTCTTTGATTGCAGCTGATCTTAGAAGTGGCATCTTAACCTCTCTATATCTTTGTTTCTCTATGGCTTTATCTTACTTTCTGTGTTTTTGTTGTTCTTTTGGTGTTGGAAGACTTTATCCCTTGGATTTTGTAAACATTCGATCATGCATGTACAAATGTACTGGTTGCAATGTTATGCATTAAGACACTATAAGACAAGTTTAAATTGATGATGACTGTCTGCTTTAGTTGTCTTTTTTTTGCTGCGGTTTATGACAGGTTTGTAATTTAGGTTGTGCCTAGAGAGATGTTTGATGTTATGATGTTGTCCAGAACTTTTAGTTACAGTTTAGGACAGTGTTAGAGGGATGATGGTGTCTTGTTTCTTTTGATCTTATCGCACAAAAATCATTTTAGTTGCTGGAGTCTTTTGGTTTAGATTGTTTAGTTGCAGAATATCATTTTAGCTGCTGGAAATCATGTAATATGGTCCATTGTAGCTAGTTACGTAAATGCAATGTCACTTTCAAAGCATTATTTGGATAAAGTTGATTACTTTCAATTCGTTGTTGTCTTAATGCTCTTCAGGTCATGATGAAAACAGAGCATGGTTTTTTTTTTAAAAACAGAGCATATTTTAAAAAGTTTAACCGAGAAAACCGAACTAACCGAAAATAACCGGTGATAACCGAAATAACCAAATTTAACCGAAAATAATCGAAATTAACAACATTTTCAGAAAACTTCGGTTTAATTCAGTAGAATTTAGAAAAACCGAACTAACCGATCACCGAACCGAACCGAACCGAACCGAAATCTTGTTCGGTTAATTTTGGTAGAATTTTTGTTAACCGAACAACCGAATTAATCGCAGTAACCGAAGTCGCAGGCCTAGATACTATGTTTTATGTGTTCCAGTTATTGAAATCATTTTAAGCTAATTAGTTTTTTTGTAATTTATAATTTATTAATAAAATATAAATAATGATTCTAATGTTTAATTTTTTTAAAAAAATTACAACTCAAACCATAAACCCTTTACCATTATAACCCTCAAACCCTATTCTAAACCTTATAAGCCCTATACCAAACCTTATACCATAAACTCTAAATCAAAACTCATTTATCAAAACACTCATTAATACATACAAAAAGTTATTATATTTCTATTGTTAATAGAATTAGAAAAAAATTCAAATCCTATTAGCATATACTCTTACACACCCTAAACCTCAAATCCTATGTCATAAACTCTTAATCAAAGACTTATGAACTTTTCAAATTATAATTTGTATTTTGTAATAGTTTTTTTATATTCTATTTTAATTTCTTAGTATGAAACAATAACCTTTTTTTTCTAAATTGAATAACAGAAAAAAGTTCTCACATAATTTAAATCTTTATACCCTAAATCAAACAATCCATAAAACTTGATAACATTCTAATTGCTAAATATCATAAAAAAAAATCGAATCCTATACCCTAAATCCAAAATGCTATACCCTAAACTCTGAATTAAAGATCATAAGTTTTTATCTTTACTTTGTAAATTTCAATTGTAACTTTTATTATTTATTTTGTATTGTTGATAATGGTTTTATTTTTATTTTATTTTATACTGAGTTGGGGAATGTTAAGAGATTATAAGACAAAAAAACTTGTTTATTTAATTATCAAGACAACAGCAGATTCAATTTCAAGTCGAGATATGGTCATAAACTAGAATAGACCGTCCAATTTACAAAGACATTTCGCTGGAAATCTACAAAGAGATTTCCTGAATAATCTCATGAGCTTCTATCCTCTGCAACCCAATATTTCCTTCTCCTCGATCAATCATTGTTGGCTTGTATCCCGCCACTTTATCATGACTTACATCTTGGAATCTTTCTCTTGGATCACGCTTTCGGCAATCGGGAATCATTCTTGCTGAGGATTATCAGAGTAACTTAAAATAGTCAACATGTAAAGATCAGATTCACTTCCAATTGATGCATTGGTAGCTCGTCACTGTGGAAGAGGCAGATGCGCTTCGAGCACCGGATTCCGACGCCACCGCAGCTATTGACGAATTTGGATAGATTAGGCTGACCGGATCTCCACTGGACAATAAACTGACGCTTCAGTGACCCGAGAATAAACTGAGACTTCGGAGACCCACCCAACCGGCAAGGCCATAGTCTGAATCTCCCAAAACTCGGATCTAAACGACGGGGAGAGAGAGAGAGGATTGATATTAGGGTTCTCGAGGAGGGAGTAGAGAGTGAGATTGGATGAAAAGTAACATAATCGTTTGGAGCCTAATTTTTAATTAAGCGGGAAATAAAAATTACTTCAGGAGGAATGATTTTTTTATTTATTTGCCATTTACGTGTTATGACGTTTTAGAATGAATGTGTTATTATAGACAAATTGCGAAAACTAAAAATAAGCGCGAACTTGTTAATTTTTGCCGTCCAACATATTATAAAGTTTTATATTTTGGAAACGCTAAGGCGTAAGTCAATCATAGCACAAACAGTTAAAACGCTATCTTAAAATGCTATTAATACTCATATTTCCTGTAGTGAATATTTGAACCTCGTACCTCCTTTTGGATCAGTGACAGTCTAGAGGTAGCAAATTGTGCCTGGATTGGCGTTTTGGAGAAGCGCGAGATAAACCGGAATTAGAGCGTAACTTCCAGCCATTGAACCATGTACATTGTCCATTGCGATCTCACGAGCACGCCATGGTACAAAACGTTAACATGAAACTCGTCAAGCAAAATCTTTCATATTCTAGATGGTGATGGACCCCTCTTAATACCTACGAATTTACTTTGCATCAATTCGCCAATAACTTGAGTTGTTGCTAGGCGATAATAGTTCCGCCTTGCGTCAACAGAGCAGGTGTGTTTGAGAGTAGCTTGCCGGATTTGGAAGTTCCCTATGTCGTCAACTAAAACGGTGTAAACTCTCCAATGGCATGAAGGTGTTATACAGTTCATCACCATGAAGTTTGGAGCTGAACGAGTGGTATGGAAGTGGAATCTTCTGTTAATAGCATTAACTGCTGTTTTGATTTTGCAATCATTATTTGATTTAAAGACTCTACCGACAAATAAGTTGTCTCCTTCATATGGAACATCAGGCAGCTCAGCTTCTAGTTCGGCATAAGAGGTTAAAAGAAAAGTAAGTGGTTACTTATACATCTATATTCATATTGTCATGTTCTATGTATTGCTATATAAATTCAATCTTTCAACATAGATATTAGCTTACCATCTCCTTTGTTAGTTGTGAAGACTAGAGGAGCATCACAACCAAACAGAGTTGGTTCAGTACTGAAGTCATTAAGAATTTGATGCAGAGCCTCTTCAAATCTTCCCCATCTACTAAAGCGACGACCTTGATCTGGTTCGTAATCACTGTTTTCATCGTCATCGTCATCATCACTTTGGTCTTGATTAACTCCTCCTGTATGGCTGTTTTCTCCATCTTGAAATAACCTACGTCTTACATCGACAGTGGAGTTTTTTTTCACAGGAAATCGTTGGCCTTTACTAGGTAAGGATGGAACCACATCATCATCCTCGTCATTACTGTCATCCATAATCGGTGACAATGCCTTTTCCTTTGTCAGCAACAACGACATTGGGACTATCTAGAAGAATTGCTGATGTTCCTTCATTAATTGAGACGCCTTTAGCTCTTGTCTGCATGCAGTGACGATGTTTTGGAGGAAGATCTGACAGTTGTGTTGAGCCAAATGCCGGAAATGTCATTGGCGTTTCAGACATAGAAAATTGATGCCACTTGTCTTCTGAATTTTCTCCCGTATCTCCAGCTTCTGACGTTTGTACATCATCTGGCTCAGTTGTCTTTTTAATCTCCTTGTATTTGCATGCAGAGTTTGTAGGAATTTCATTGACATGAGCTGTAATTGTAACACAGAGATTCACCTCTTCGATATGGCGTCTCATCTGGATGAAAAATTGAACCTCTTGATCATCGGTGATATATTGTGGGGATCTAGATGACCTTTCATCACCGTCATCTATCACCATCCATTGAGGATACTGGTAAGCGAGCTTCACACTCACGTTTTGGCCAAGATCTGTAATTTGTTGCGGACTTCGTCGATAAGATCTCGGAACTTCAGATCGTCAGAAAGATTGATATTTGCAAATCCTTCAATCGTATCCGTTTCGAAAAGCCAAGCTCTTGTAGATTCACGAATCCATGTTCCGACGATCAGTTTCACTTCGTCTTGTGGCGATTTATGTTGAAATATGACAGATCTATTAGTTAATTGTTCAAGAATGGGATCTCTAAAGATTTCAAAAGGTAAAGTTTTTCCAGTATGAATGAAATTAATATTTATACTATCGGAGAGAATTTAAGTATTCTACCTACTTTTATACAATCACTGTATTCATAATATACTTAGTTAAGATTCATGTATTTACTTGACTACTAGGACCCCCATTTTTACTGCACTTGTTTTCTCTTTATCAGACATTTTTGTTTAAAGTAAAAGTACAGAACAACAAAGATAGAGATGAAATTGTTTTCATAAACGAAAATAGACTACTGAAAGGGTTTTTAAGTTTATTGGGAACATACTTGGCATAATTCTGTCCACAAATTCAATTAAGAGGGAGTTTCAATTTTTGAAATTAATATTTCTCTTTCGATTAGTCAATGAGAGAGGGAATAATTCAGAGGTTTTTAGCGCTTAAGTGTCTTAATTTTACTAAGTGTTGGCGGAATAAGAGTAATTTGCTTCCCACTTATGAAAACTATATCATAGCAATCATGCAATGCTATAATATGATATCCGGAATTACAAAGTCATCTTCAATAGCAGTTTAACGAACCGTGCTATTACGATGTGCTATGAATGTAGCCTTTTTTTGTAGTGTTCTCGGCTGAATTACAAACTACTCGGCTTGACTCTTTGATGTTAGAAGAAGCTTCTATTGCAAACTTCCGTCTAAAATGTGATGGCCTTTTAGGAAATTTATAGTAAGTGTGAACTACTCTCCAATTTCAAAAGCCCTATAGACATTTGCTAAATTTTGAAGCCCAATACTATTATTTACCTAATTCTCCCATTACATTCCAATAGTAATTTTGTTTTCTTTTTCAACCGCTCTTGGTGTCTCATGGATGGAGATGCTCTTATCTCAACACTCTTAAAAGCGTATTAACTGTTCGTGGTGTACAATCTAGCAATTCTTCCACATGTAACAATACATTTGCTTCTTTTTGCACCGTTTTTTGTGTGGACAAAAGAATTAAGGTTACACTTTCCAAAAAGAAAAAATAAAAATAAACATACGACCAAAAACCATAAAAAATAAATCTACAGTCAAGAGTATACATATATAATTAAATAAAATTATAAGGGAAGTGAAATTACCAGAAAACATAACTCATGCTTCTTTCTTTACTTGTTGTTTATGCCTTTTTAACTTTCTGTAACCTTTAGAAATTCTCTTTGTGGAAGGAGAATCTGGTGCTTGTCTTGTGGGTAAAATCTAAAGCTAAATGCCTTAGCTCCTTTGTCAATGCCGGTGCTCCACAATAAAACACTCCTGCACATTTCACCATTTGTGTTTAATTCTATCACAGTTATTTCTATATAACGTGAGCATATATAGAAGAGAAGAAGATATGAACTTACCAACTTTAGTGTTAGGATGATCCATGGCTATGCGTTTGTAAACATTTCTCCAGTTAGGTTTAGCGAAATGGGACATAACTCGTGTTCCAGAGACAATATCAACGCCGTTCTTTGCATGGTTTAGTGACTGAAGCATATGTATAAGGGCGGAACGAGCGTCACCTTCTTCATAGACGCTTGTACAATAGTTATGCAGCTCGATGACTCGGTTAGTATCTCGTTCAGCGACTTCGTTCATTATGTTCTTGAACCAATCGAATGAGCCTTGCTCACGCGTGACCCAGTAGAAGTAAGCCCTACGCGTCCTGAAACTCTCTTTCTTGTTTCGTTGTTGTGGGTCGCTTGTTCCGTGCTCCATTCGGTTGAGCTGGGCTTGTTCCTTGGCCCTGATGTTGTTGACAATGTCTTTCACGATACTGATCATTGGCGTGGCTCCGATTCCGAGACCAACGAGTAGAACTACCTCGTATTTTTTGTAGTCTTGTGCTGGTGCACCGTACGGACCATCGATCAAGACTTTCGGGAAGCTGTTTGAATAAAAAGGGTCATTGGCATTATTGGTAAAGGTCATAAATTTTTTAATGGTCGTAACACAATATTATGTCATAATTCTAGATTCATGTGGCTTTGCAATCATATTTCACGTAAGCATCTTTTACATCACAGGCCCATACATCTTTCAACATTTGTTGGATATAATTAATGTGCGAGTATTTTTTAGTTACGTATAAATACAGCATATGTTTAGCTAATGCCATTTTCATTTTCTCTTGTGACTTCTTTTTGTCCTACTCTATACGCGTACTTTAAATAAGAAACAAATTACAGCTAACGGTAACATTTTTCTATTACTAGATAGTTAACATTTTCAATAGCACCAAAAGAAAAGAGATGCCCATAAAACCAAAGAATTTTTTTTCAAATTAGAATTCTTAAATGAATAGGAGAATCATGCCTAACCAAACAAACATGTGACACTTAAAACCAAAATTAAGTATAAGTAAGTTGCTTAAAAGTAATTAATGATGAATAGAACAATTATGCATAACCTTTAACATATTAATTAGGCATGTGAACAGTGAACAAATAAAACCAAAACTAAGTTGAACTTTATCAGCAAGTATATTCGTATACACCTGGATCTATATACATTATATCGCTGTGATATGTTCCCGAAACCATTCGGCAATTGGGAATTTCTCATCTTATTATATAAAGCTGGATACGCGTGACGTGGTTGCGACACGTAGGATTTTTATAAAATATAGGATCGCGACATGTGTCACTTTTAATGTTATGTCCGTTAAGATCGTGACACATGTCTTGAAAAAAGGAAAAAAAATAAAGGGAAAATTTTAATATCTTATAATAAAAACGAAAATTTATATAATAAATTGAAAATAATATAATAAAAAATTCCTATTAGTATATGTAATAGGTATATAAACTAAATATCATAATTGTATGGAATATAAGTTACATAAACACCTATTTAAAAAAATCCTATTAATACATGGAATAGGTATGTAAACTAAATATCCTAAAACTGTATGAAATTGGTTACATGAACCCCTATAAAAAGAGAGCTAATGTAGTCTCTTTTTCTCATTCAAAAACTCTTCAAAGCAAATTCAGCAAATCTCTTTGATTCTCTTTCTAGTTCAAGAGAACATTGGATATTATTTGACTCTAGGTCAATTGTACCATATACCAACTCACTACTTCGAAATTTCGGAGATCAGATGGCCGAAGAAAACATCATCGAAATTTGTAACTTTAATGTGCAGTCTGCTGATAAAAAAACTTATAAAGTTTTCAGCCATCAGTCTTTTATAAGAATAACAGAAAGAACGAAGATCAATAGTATCAGTCAAAGTATCAGTCAAAGTGCCTGCCAGATACCGTTGGAAAAATTTTGGCTTCGGACTTACGAAGATTATGTCAATCTTTAGTACAAGACCGTTGACTTATATGATATTTACTTTTGTTCTCATTCTATAATTTAATTAATTTCCATAGTTCTCATGCAGTGTTACGTAAGTAATCATATTAATCAATCCCTAACAAAATAATTATCAAGCAAGTAATTAATATTAAGAAAATATAATGAACCGATATTCTAATTTTAAACAGTTTAATTTTCAATATTGTTAGGTAAAAAATTATTTATGAAATATTTCATCAAGCAATTGAAATCTCTTGAATAGAATAATAAAGTTTTGTTGAATTAATCAGTTGATCAGATTTAGACATATATAAGTCTTTCTATATTGGAAAAAAAAATAAAATAAAATTAATTAATTCATTTTTTATATCATGAATTCAAAACAAATATCAATTATACTAAATATTTTTATCGGATTTTTAATATTATTCTACTTACTTTAAAAATAATCAAATTTTGTTAAATATTTTTCCATGTTTTTATTACAAAATATTGAAATAAACCCGCATATACGCGGGCTTTAATCTAGTTATATATAAATCTCTTAAATTCATTTTTCTTATTTCACCAAAAAAACAAAAAAAAAAGTTGATAAAGTCAATAAACTACTCAGCTATATAATTGACCTAGCATCCTCAACTATCCGATCACCTTGCAATATTTTATTTTTAAGGAAAAACTTGAGAAATAAGATATTGCAAGCAAGCGGGAGCGACTCAAGATTTACGCGGTCACAAGAAAAACACATGGAAGAAGCAAAACGATCGTGCTTGCATGATAATACCAAATAATGCGTCTCAATCACCTAAATTAATATAGTGATAAAATTGGTTAGGTACATATAGTTTGTTCTAAGTTGTGGTCTCCCACCACTTACTGTAATGGAATTAGGTGCAATGTTTTTTGAATTTGTTACCAAATATACCAAAAAACACTCAAGCATGCTTTTTGTAAGTGGATATCACGATTCACGATCAAAAAACCTTCTAGAACCCATTATTTTCTTAGCACGATTTAGTCATTTAAATTTTGTCAAGAGATAGTGGTTAGGATTTCACTTACTCGGGATTATTTGCACCATGCAACATGTCGGCTCTCAACAGACCACTAACTCCTGCCGGGGGCGGCTTACACACCTGAAACACAACACATTCATATCAAACTCTTTTCATTCAAAACTTTGGTTATAATTAATGTAATTTAAAGATCAAACCTCAGAGAAGACTCCTTTGAGAGCTCGTGTCCAATCCCCAAGAACTCTAATATGAACACTTAGATAATCATCTTGTGGCGCAGAAGTGATTGAAAATGGATGCCTGCGTCATATTTCAAATCTCATCACGATGAAGAACTTTATCAGCAATGTAGATAAAATATGAGAGTTTCATTGGTTTGGTTTTGTACCATTCGAATGGAGACACAGCAGCACAGTTAACAAACATGTATTGACCACTCTTGTACTTGAACTTTTGAGGCCTTGACAAATGCAACGCCAAAACGTTTCCCGGATAAACCATTACTTTCCTAATAGTCACCGCCTTGATCGTCGACCTGAATGCTCTTATCAACCTCTCACACGCGTATAGAACCACCGGTACCACCAAATACATCCAAGTCTGCAACAGTTTCACAAATGATTAGGACTTTGGCTTATGTGATTCGAAGAAAGAAGAAGATTTGATTTAGTTACCGTTTTGTTATGCCAGTCTTTAGTGAGATACAAGTAGTATCCATGAGCAACAAGAAGAGCGTAGACTATGACGAACAAATGATGAGTGTACCAAAAGGCATTGAAGCTAGCTAATTGCTTTAACGGTCCCGGAAGATTCAGCTTCCCTCTTCTAAACCAAGGCGTGGCTAACGTAAAAGCAATCGCCATCAACAGTACCATCACTAGTCCGGTTATACCTTCCACCGAGTTCACAAAATGCCAATAGCTCTTCGGTTGCTCCTCTCCGAAAAACTCTCTCAAAGGCCTATACTGCTCCGGAGTCGCCTCTAGTAGCCTCGGGAAATCACACGCTAAATGTGCTCCAGCGTGCATCGTTACTCCGACTATAATCCCCACCGCTATAACCTAACGTTTGGTACAAGAAACTTAGATAATTTTCAAGAAACATAAACGTTTGGGGATTTGAATTTGTTTTGTGTACCTTGTGGAAGTTGAGATTGTCATCAAATGGGACAACACGACCCAACTTGGTTTTATTCCGAAGCCAAGTGATGGTGTTTCTACAAACAGGCAAGAGAATCAAAGCCATGTTAAGCTTCACCGTCTCTGCTGCACCTTTAGCCGCACACACACAATCTCCCATCACTGGATACACAGGGCTACGTCTGTATTGGATGTACTTGTACGCGAAGAGTATAGCCATCACCGTGATCCACAACGCTATAACCCAACATCTCTGCCAGTTGTCAAGCACGAAGAATCTTAAACCACGGTACCATCGTTTCAACGGGTTCCGGTTAAACGTTGGTTTAAGCCTCTGGCTCATCATATGGCTCAGGTTTTTTCTCTCGCCCGTGCTTGTGATTACAGACTGTGATGCTGCTTGTAAAAGCAGCGTCTCAAGACTCTCCAACTATTTCAGACAAAAAAAAAAAAAAAAAAAAACAAAATGCTTCAGATTCTGTTAGACGTAATGTGGTGAATTTATTTACTATACTTACCATGATGTAGCCTATATTGTCAGGATCAAGCTCTTCCATGATCAATGCTGCATATTCATCTGCTCTTTTCTGGATTGTGACGAGATTGTTTGCAGATGCACTAAGACTTATAATCTGTGAAAAAACAGAACAAGGTCTCAGAGCAGAGTTAACACTGAAGCCAAGCAAAAATAACAAATAAAACTCTGCGTTTTACCTCTCTAACTTCGTCTTCTGTAAGTCTACCATCAGCATCTTTATCCACCCTGCAAAATTCTCATCACTTTCAGATTCAAAAGCAGAAAAGAGAAACTTTAAAAGATGAGAAGCTCAAGTTACATGTCAAAGAATGTCTTGAGACGAGAATCGAAGCTTTGATCATTGATTTGTTCCCAGAATTCTTTTAATTGATCTCCGTCGATCACTTCCCCTGTTATATTCCTTCTCCTAGCCAATGCGTCGAACAGTTCCAATGCAAACTCCTTCGAATTCATACCTGCATTATCAGAGATTCAAATCAAAATTCGAAATTAAGCATTTGATTCGAAGCTTTGAGAACTGCATTGAATTTTGTTACCTATGCATTCACCGAATTTTGTGCGAAGCAGTAATCCACCGGTAGTGGCGGTGATCTGATTGAACCGTTTCTCAACGGCGGACCAGCCAGCGCCGCCGTCGGTTTTGCTGATGAACTTAAGTCCTTTCAACGCGTGAGCGGCGGCGGATTTCGTCCGGTCTAACTTAGCCTGGCCACGAGACGGCTTTTTCGCACCGCCACCGGAGACCGACGTCAGACGCTTGAGCTCGTGAGAAACGGAGGCAAGACGCTTCACCACCGTCGTTTTCTTCTCGAGGCGGTTTCGTTTCAGAAGCGTGAGCTCCGGACTCTCTTCGACGCTGGATGATCCAGATTCCGATCCCGCCATTCTCAGGCTGTGCACAGACACACCGTCGTCTTGGACATCTACCGTGAGGTCTACGTATGGAGCCGCCGCCGTACGCGTCCTCTGGCTGTTCTCCGCCGCGAATCCGGTGTTCTTCATCGCTGTTTTTTTGTAGATCGGCGGTAATTGACCACTCATCGGACCACTCATGAAACCGCTGCTTCCGGCTTCGGCGTCGGAGTTATAGCCTGACACTTCAAAGCTCACTCTCTGCATTATTATCACACTCTACCTGAAAGTTTCTCTCGTCGTCTAACTTTGACGGAAAATGATGACGAGTTTGTGGTTTGAACTCTGAAATTGATCGGAACTCAAATGTGGAAGCGATAGAGTTAACTCATCTTCGCAATTTCAAATCGATACTCTAGGAAAGAAAATCAGATCGGAATGCGAGAAACTCGGAAGCTTTCCGGCGATTGTAACAAGCGAAATCGAAAAATGGATACTAGGAAAGTGAAAAAAGGAATTCAGAAGCTAGTTATGGAATCTTCCTAATTCAAACAAATTTTTTTAAACGCAAACAGAACATTTTTTCCCTGAGAAAATGAGAGACTTAAATTTCTCCGGGAAAATATTTGATGTTATTTTCTCTCTGAAAACTTTCAGGGAAAGTAAACGTTCTCTAATAATTTGCTGAGAGAATGAAGATATGGATTTATATATAAGTAGTGAGGAGAGATGAGTATCCATTATCCAACGACGAGTAAAGAGTTTTGAATTCAATTCAAATTAAAAAAAAAAAAAAAATGAATAAAGAAGAGAGACGACGACGTGGTCTGATTGGGCCCACCAGATTTGTCATCTGTGATGCCAAAAAAAAAACATTATGAAAAAACCAACTATAGGGGTTATAACGTGCATATGTAATGCAAAACATTAAAGAAAAATGTAAAATATCACAAAGTTGAATGATTACTTTCGATTAAATTAACAAATCAAAACATTAGTCCACGGTTTTTTAACAAAGTCCAAAGCGAATGTTTGAGACTTGTATGTATTAGAAAAATGTTCTTAATTCGAAGTCCAAAAACTATGATTAATATTCGATTTTACTATTTAGATATACATAACAAACTGTTGGCAAATTCAAATTGCATACAAATTGCAATTAAAAAGACTCTGCCCATAGAACATGGAGGATCAGGATCCATCGCCATATATACAACTGACATTGAGGCCTTGAATGGAAAGCAAGACTGCGGTGCGTTTTCGAGTGTGGTTTACAAAAATCGCTTGAACATCACCAGTCACACATAATTTGATATATTCTGCGTTTGTTGTATTATTTTTATCAAGTACTGTTGCGCTTTTCATTAACTCATGAAAACCAATTCCGCATGTTAAAACGCAAATATACATGAGGAGGTGTGGATCAAACAAAAACGCACAGATAATTTTTATTGTTTTAATAATAAGACAAAATGCTATATGTATGTTAAAGTAAATATTATATTTCTAAATAAATGCTTCTTTTCCCTTTAAAATATTCCTCCATCTTTTTTTGCATGTTTAGTTCTGCTTTTAACTAAATCTTTTTTTCTTTTATTTTGTACTTTTGACTTAAGTTAAATTTATAAATTATATATTTTAATAAATAGTTACTCAAAAATAAGGATAAATTACAAAATAATTTGTAAATTCATGATTTGATCAAACACACACATATTCACATATATATATATATATTACAAATTAAAATTTGTTTTTACCTTTTTCTTACGTTTTTGGTTACTTGTTTTAGTAATATCTGTATCAATTTTTTATTTTTATTTCTAATTAACTTTAGTATTTAAACTATTAATTTTTTATATAGTTTTTTTCACTAATATTTAAATGAAGTATTAAATTAAATTTACTCAAAAATAAGGATAAATTACAAAATAATTTGTAAATTCATGATTTGATCAAACACACACATATTCACACACACACATATATATATATATATATATTACAAATTAAAATTTGTTTATACCTTTTTTCTTACGTTTTTGGTTACTTGTTTTAGCAATATATGTATCAATTTTTTATTTATTTTTTCTAATTAACTTTAGTATTTAAACTATTAAATTTTTATATAGTTTCTTTCACTAATATTTAAATGAAGTATTAAATTAAATTTACTGCTATTGTTGATATATATGTTTCTATATTATATATACATATATATAATATGTATTCCGCACCGCTTTTTGATTTTTTACCATTCAAAAATTTGTTTGTACCGCTTATTCTGCATAAACCGCACTTGTTCCGCAGTTTAGTTTTATCCGCACATTTTAAAAATAAACCGCACCGCACTCTAAATCTGCTTGATCCGCACAACACAATACGCTGTCACCATTCGGACCATGATTATTGATCATACAACTGACTCCGCCCATATATAATCATCACTACAAGTCTACAACCAAAGACCGATTATAGCTGTTTAGCAACGAAACATTCAAAAATATACTTTATCTGCTTAGTACAACCATGTGTTAACGATTATTTCTTCATATGAAACCAAATATTTTACTTATTCGATGTAAACCTGTGACAAAATAGACCATGGCAAATGCGTACTATATGACCACGGGGTTGAAGATAATTAATTTGTTTTATTTTGCAAATAAAAACATCTATTCGCAAAACCTGTTGCGAAAATCATCAATAACTATATCTTAACTAGTACTTGAGAAGTACAAGATATTGTAATTTATAAAGAAACATTAGAGTATACTAATTAGGTGGATGTAATAATTAAACTATCATTAATTTAATTTAGGGCTAAGATAATTATTCAAATATATGATGAAAATGAGATATTTATATGTTTAATTTAGAGAGACATACTAAAAACCTGCTTGTTTAGTCCACATTTGGTCGATTCGGCCATTGTACTTATGACCTGAATTCATTGCCTTTTTGGTAACATTAACAAATAAACAAACGGAACAAAATACAATCGTCAATTCCTTATTTTCGAATGACGATATGAAATCGATTTTATCTGATTTAGTGGGATAAATTCGCGATGGAGGTAAAGATAAAGAGTTATCGGAATTTGAAGTTTGGAGAAATCGACATCGCATATTCTTCATACAAAACAAAATATTTTACTTATTCCCATGTATACCTGCGACAAAATAGAGTAGACCATGGCAAAAGTGTACTATTTGACCAGGGTTGAAGATAATTAATTTGTTTTCTTTCAAATCTTTGATTTTGCAGATAAAGACATATATTCGCAAAACCTGTTGCGAAAATCATCACTAATTATTCATCATGTGCATTCCATTACCTGCATATGTTTAACAGATTTTTTTTCCGTAGGATTAGGAACAACATTGTTTCCTAAAGCACATTCTCTAATCTCATAAAAGCATTGTGCTCGAGGCCACTATGAACATAGACCATGTTGAGGGCCTTGAGGCCACATTTAAAAAACTTATATTGGTGTAGTGCCGACATATTTGGCCCTGACAAACTTACCTACAAAAGTTTGTACGTGAATTTAAGTAGGTGCATGTTAAACTGTAAGTTTTTTCCTTTTTTGACCAAAATGTTAAACTGTAAGTTTTATCAACTATTAATCAATACTTGGTTTTAGGGTTGGGCACTTGGCTAGTACTCGGTTTTTTTGCTATAAATAATTAAATTTCTTATTAAATATGTGTTATTTGTATTTTAGAGTAAAATAAAGATCAAAACAATTAATTATATATCTTAAACTGAACTAATTTAAAACTTCAAGGACTGTAATATAAATTTAAAACTTCAACTCTAAAATGGAGATGAAAATGGGATCAATCGCATTTTGGGAAAAAAATATGGCATTTTGCCATTTTGAGATTGAAAATGGTGTTGGGTTGGAGCAAAATTAGCTCCAAAATCTATATTATAAAGAGAGGATAACTCTCTCTAGTTGAGTGACACCTCAACTTTTTCTACTGCTTTTAAAAATGCCACATGGCATCTCTTAAAAAAAAACACAAATATTTTCAACGCTTCCTCTTTCCGACACTTCATCTTCAAGCCGATTCATCTTCAGAATTTAGTCTAAATCCAAATCCTAAACAAAAAAATAAAAAAATTTGCAGAAGATATGTTGAATTCAGTGACAAAGCCAACTCCATGCCTGCAACAACAAATAACAGAGTTGTATGGTGCTATTTAGTTCTTGACGATAATAAGAACTCGCAGTAACATATTATTGGTTCAACTTATAATTTCTCCAAATGTTATGATTCTGTTGCAGAGATACGAAACTAAAAAAAAAAAAAATTCACTTGAGACTTTCGTGTACAGAACCCACAAGCGAAGAAAAAGTATCAATAGGTCAAAGTAATAGCTTACCATAGAGAGCATATCCCTTGTCAACGTGTTCAAACTCTGTGAGAGGCATTACAATCGACTGCAATTTAACCCTCCCACCACGTTTGTTCTGCAATTCATGGAAACCAAGAAACATGTTAGAACCAAATAAGCTCCAGTTTATGCCTTATGAGTTAGGGAAAATGGACCTGATACTCCACTAACTTTTCAACGTGCTCTCTTTCTTCCACACTCGATTCCTTAAAGAATCTGAACACCGAGAAACCAACAATTCACTATGGATAAACAAAAAAAAACAGAAAACAGCAACAATTAGGCCTTGCAACAATCAACACTCTTGAATAACCAGAGACTCACATGGCAAGACCCTTGAGAGCGATGTTATCACGATCGAAGTAAGCATACATAGCGTGATACACATACGACAGATTGTATTCCACACTGCGGCCAAAATAATCGTTTGAAGAATTTCAAAGATCCACAGGATAAACCACGGCTCTCTTCCTTCTGCTCAATCGAGGAGATGATCCTCCACGAGGCACGGCGATCTCCGATCACGTTTTTATAAGCGACAGAGAAGAGATTTCACTCCTCCACGGCGTCCACCAAGCTCGGCCGTCTCCAAGAGGCCCACGTCGGGAAAGTTCAGCGGCGGCCAATGTCATAAGTCTCATTTTCAGCATATCGGAGAAGACAGACTTTTGCAAATCGGGTCTGATTAGGTCTTGATAGTTTTGGGTGTTTAATCCACGTAAACCGGTCTAAACCGAAATATCTTCTTATTACGGTTTAAATTGATTCTTTTTCAATTCTTTTGGGTCAACTAACATCGATATCTTCTTATTGTGTTCTGTTTCGTTTTAACAAAAAATGATTAATTGGCCCAAAATGACATTAGCCAAAAATGAATAGCTGAGTTCAATATTGTGATGCATCATCAATTTATGATTCTTCTATATATGTTACAAATCCATTGGGGACATTGAGTCCAACTAAAGACGTTATAAGCAGATGAATTTTGTTTTTCAGTTGTATCGAAACAATTTGATCCACAACGTACAGAAAAATAATTTATCTGAAAACTGAACTGAGTTTTAAAACGGATGTAGCAATTTAATTTAATTCTATAGATGTGTATACCAAGAATCGAAAAACCGATTCAAACTAAAACTCAAATCCGGATGAAAACCATCTAAATAAATACATGACTTCCAATATGATGTTATACAAAATAAGTTTATTTAGCAAGATAGACGACAAGACACCACCCAAATTACAAAAGTCTCTTCCGATAATAGTATATACACTAAGAACTCTATTAATTAATAATGTCGGTATTTTAATATTTTATTAATTTATAGAGTTATTAATTAAAATGTGTCTTCGGTTTGGATTTTAACAAAAGTCTCTTTGCTTTTTAAATTGCGTAGCGCGGACGTTTAATGATTATTTAGTTATGATAATCTTCTAAAATCGTCGGCGGTAACAATAAAGGTAGGTGGAGGAGGTGTCACTTTCGCATGTCTTTTGGTGGTGGCGTTCCGGTTAACTCTGATGGTAACAAATGATCCGTTGGTGATGAGGCATTGGTGATGAGGCGGTTTCGCTGTAAGGGAAACGAAATGGTGAGGAGATCAAGCAATTTGAGATTGAATATGCGGTTTTTCTGAATTTTACTTTTCAACTCATTAATTATTCATATCAAACTAAACAAAATAGTAATTAGGGATAAAACAATAATTCATTTATGTTCACCATTTATGTGTGGAAATAAAAAACAAAATCAATATTTTATTTTACTTTAGATAAGGAATCATATAGAAAAAAATAGATAAAATGTTTTGAAAACTAATGTAAAAATTTAGATACAATAGAAGTGACAAAACTTTGTAATATTCATAACCCGCGCATCGCGGGCTTAGCCCTAGTTTATATAATTGAAAGTAGGTGGACATTCTCCAACTATTGACACCTCAGCACCCTCAGAGTGCTATCATTCGAGTTTTTTCCACATCACCAGCGTTTTACCTCACTCCCTCTTTCTTCAAAACGACTGCGTTTTTCTCCACTTCCCCGGCGCCCTAAAACGACATCATTTTATTCTTTCCTTTCAAAACGATCTTTGCGCCTCTCTTCAAAACGACTGTGTTTTCCTCCACTCCCGATTAGCCCCAAAATGACATTGTTTTTATCTGTCATTTGAAAACGACGTCGTTTGCGCCTGCGTCCCTCCATCTTTCACCAATACCAAATCCTTCTGTTCCACTTTGATGGAACCTCCCTCATCCACCCCCACGTACGACGAGACTTCTCGGATTCTGTTGAACGTTTCTCCTATTAATGGTATCAATGGTATCCATACAAACCACCGGTTACGGGACCAGCCCTGCCAATTCCAACTCCTTTATAAAAGGCCGCCTCGCCTCTCTTCTCATTTTTTTTCCTCGCTTTGCTTTTCTGAAATCGGGCCTGTTCACTTTCACACAGTTTCCTTAGAACCACTTTATCCGTAATTCGTTCGACGCTATCATGGTTTTCCTTGCCCCTCCCTCTACACCACCGCCTACCCTCGCCTTTGAAGATCTCCTCTCCGACCCCACGACGGCGACCATCACCGTTCGACTCCTGCGTATGTGGGGAGACGTGGCTACTTCGGACAAAGCTATTCGGTTGCTCCTCGTGGACCATAAGGTAAAACTCGCAATTTTAATTCAGGCTACCTCTCTTTTCCGCTTGCTCGATTTACTCTCTAGGATTTCCTGATAGAGGCTGTTCTTCCGGAGAAGGTTGCTGTGGGTTTCTTACCTCTGTTGAACGAGGACGCCGTGTACGTAGTCCAAATTTAAGGAAAGAACCGAACCCGGGATCTGTCTAAGTGGAGGTTAAACCAAATTTCTCTTGTAATATGATCAATCTTTCTGGTATTAAAATACTAAAGAAATCTTCTTGGAATACTCAAGAAATCTTCTTTACACTTCTGAAAACAGATATTGAAACAAACGAATGTCTTGGAAGCAAATGGAGGGTGTTGGCAGGACAAGAAATCTAGATGTTTATTTTTAGAATATTGTGAGAGTGTGACAAATGCTGACACCTCAGCAATGGCAGAGTTGAAATTAAGTAGAAAACAAAGGTGAATTTTTTAAATGTCTTTTCTTTTAATATATAAGGGATGATTTGGTTAGTGAAATATTATAATGATCAATGTAGTCAACTTTTTAAAAATCTAAATTTTAGGTAATATTCTCTTAATTCTCTGGTTAAGTACTTTTTAAAGATCGAAAACTGTAAAGATTTCTTCTCTTTTCAAGTTTTAAATGTTTATGTTGGCTTTATTAATTGCTTCGTTTAGTTAATTCACAAGAACTTAAGAGTAGCTTTGTATATTTCCAAATCCCATGTGTTCTTTGAAACTGGATGAAATTATTCTTCGTGATGTGCTTTCAAAGATGAAGAATCTCTTCAACTCACTCCTATTTGATTGAGAATATGCCTGAGTAAGAAGAGACATTTATCAATTACTCAACTGTGTTTTTTTGCTTTTTCTTCTCTGTGGTTTGATAAATCAGAAGCATGTGAAATCGGACTGATACTCGAATGTATCTTCAACAACAATCTCTTTCAATTGTGTAGAACATTGAGGAGAGAGTCTAGTGAAATATTAGTCTTGACAAATGCTTGAAGACTGCAAACAATTGTGGCCGATTAAGACATATGAGTTTGTACAAAAATCATTGACAACAAAAAAAAAGCCACACCAATAGTTGTAATAAAAAATGATTGGAGAAATTTATAAACAAAATATTATAGTTCTTTTAATTATGGATTAAAGGTTTTAATATTGTATCCAAACAAGGACCATAACGCCGCAAAAGGTAATATTAGTATATTACAGACCAAAAGAGAGAGAGATGAGTAAATAACAAAAGCCTTAAGAGAGTGAGAGATGATAATATTACAGACCAAAAGAGAGAGAGAGAGATGAGTAAAGAGTGAGAGAGAGTTCCATGTCAATACTTAAAAAAGAACTCTCTTAAGGTATCTCACCAAGATTGCATTAAAAAAAGACTTAAACAGTCACAGTGACTGCTCCTTGCTCAGCATCGAGCTTCATCTTCTTAGCTGGTGGCTCATCTTCACACCCAACCATCTGAGATTCCTCTTCTCCTTCTTCAGACTCCATGCTTCCACCTTCAGAGGATTCCACGTTCTCTTCACTTGGGTTTCCAGAACTTTCTTCACCTTCTTCCTCTGGTGTTGGCTCCTCCACTTTCTCCTTCAGCGCCTCTATCACACTCATCACTTCTCTGTTCACCTGTTTATAGTCATTTACCACAAATAAGTTATACACTGTTACTACGCATCAACAAGTTTACCAATGAACTCATTCGTTTGCTTATTACTACACATGAACAATGGAAGAAGAAGAGACTTATGATTACCTCTGGATTTTGAAGAAACTCAGAGATGTCTGTTGGGCAGCAAGGGCACTTCATGACGTTCTTCTGAGAACGAAGTGTGCGTCCGCCTCTGCTTCTGTCTCTCAAATGTGAGACCCCTGCGAACCTCCCTTCCAAGCAACCTTTGCAGAAGTTGTGCCCGCAAGGAGTTGTCACCGGAGCATTCATCACTTCACGGCAGATCCGGCAGCTAAATTCTGTGTCAACAACAAAAACAAGAAACACACAAATGACATTTTAGATGTGCCCTTTTGAAAATAACATTTATAATGCAAAAGTAACGAACCTTTCCGAAGTTTATCCTTCACAGAGTGGCTACGCGCCTTTATGGCTCTCTTAAGACTCCTCCTCTCCTCAGGATCCAAAGCTTCAACCGACTTTCTGCTCGCAGGTGGAGCCTTCATCCACTTCCAGCGACCCTCAGATTCCTAATTGTATCACAAGGAAATTCGATATCTACTCAAACACATCATGACATGAGGAAAGTACAAAGAAAAAAAAAGAGAGGACTATAGTGCTCACATCAAAACCCCATGAAGGAGTTTCAGTTTCCTTTCTCTCAAACAGGTCGGTGGCCTTCTTAAGCTCTGGAATATCAGGCAAGACTCTCGGACGATCACCATGCTCATCACTGCAGTTTAAAAAAAGGCAACAGTGAGCATAAACTAACTAGCAGCAACACAGAAAATGGAGAGCTTTCAAGGAAAGAGACAAACCTGGTCCATGGTGCTGCTTCGTTATCACACCTCACAAACAGGTAACGACAGACCTTATATTTACCCTATAAAAAAACACAGAGTAATGTCAGGAAAGGAAATCAAGTCGCTGCATTAAAGGAAACATTTATGACTGTTAGATATAATCTGAAACCTGAATTCCGATTTTCCTCCAGCATTTCTCTATTCGGTAAACACCATCGTATCTCACTACTTTCGTCCCAGGGGCATACGCTGATCGCTTTCCTTATGAGACCTGATCATTGGTAAGAATCAAGAAAGATTATGCACAAAGTATATTGATAAAGATAGATAAAACTAACAAAAAATCACATTTCAATCAAGATAATGTATTGACAGAGAATCATCCCATTTAAATGAAAGACTGAACAAAGTGAGAAACAGCTAACCTGACAACTCGGACAGGATAGCCCATTTTGCAGCTAAGTCGTAGGGCTTCGTTTGACTTTGTAAACATTTGGTCAGAAGACTGAACCGAGTTAGTTCTCTTGTTGCCACTAAGATCTCTTCCTCCACTACAAACACACATTCACGCATGATTCAAGGCCAAGAATTGACAAATATAGTTGAAAACAATAGAAAGAAAGGCTAAGAGAAATGTAAAAGCAATACCTTCCAGTGTAGAGGAACCATTCACCATGGTCTTCGTCATCCGCATAGCCTCCAGAAAGTGTCACCGACTGAGCTCCAAAGTCAGCTTGACCAGCAATGCCAGCAACGTGAGGAAAATGCGCTCCCCATTGCCTGCAATCAAGCCTGTCTGCCCAAAACTCACCAACCAACACTCCTTGGTTTCTGATTGGATCGTTCTCAGCGGGAATGGGGCCGAAGTGGTCAGGCGGGATAGTCACGTAGATCTTGCCGCTTGCGGCATTGGCCTTGCCTGTCTTCTTAGCCCTCGCGGTTCTAAAAGCTTGGTCAGGACGGTTTTGGTTGCTGATGAAGTGATACACTTTCGCATTTCCCTTAGGAGCAGCAGATTTGGAAATCCTCGCCAGACGAATAGCAGCGACTAGCGAGTCGTTAATGCGAGGGTTGTTTGCCATCTTCTTCGGAATCGCACGGCAACATTTCACACAATTGAATTTCTTCAGCGCAACCCATTTCTGGAAACACTTCAAGCAGAAATTGTGCCCGCAAGGTGTCTGCAAAAGAATATATCCATTACGACTAGTTAAATATCAATCATCCTTATCAAAAAACAATACAGAAAATGTTAATATGTATAATTCACTGCATCAAATGCACAGTTTGGCCGTCTTTGACACAAACACCAACTTTTCAAAACTGGATCAACAATCAATCAAAGTGTAAACGAACAAGTATTAATGACACAATCTTTGACACAAACATAAATTTTTCAAAATTGAATCAACAATCAATCAAAGTGTAAAAGAGCAAGTATTAATGACACAATGGGGGTCTTAATGTTGGATTTAAAGTATCACGAATCTCAGTTGTAGGAGTTTAAGAGCAGAATCTAGCTACTAAATGAAGAGAAAGGCAACATAAACAAAGCATCAATTACACAGCAAACGCAAAAAGTTTGGCCCTTTTTAGACACATACACCAACTTTTTTCAAAACTCAACAACCGCAAAATTAAATAGATCAACAATCAATCAAATGTGTAAACGAGCAAGTATTAATGACACAATGGGGTCTTATTCCTCCAATTGCTACAAATGGTAAAGCAAAAGAGAGAAAAAACCCTAAAGTTAACAGTTTTAATAACTGATTTGAAGTATCACGAATCTACAAAGTGATTTCAAACTCACAAGCATTGAATCTATGAGTGAGCAAAGCGAGAAAGAGAGAGAGAGAACAAACCGTGACTGGCCTCTCAGGCAAATCCTGGCAAATGGAATAGAAGAAATTCTCACGAAGAGCGGCCAACACATCATCATCCTCACCGGTATTCTTCTCCTCCTCCTCGTGGTCATCGTCCTCATCGGCTTTGCCGCTAACGAACTGCTGCTTCTTCCTGGCTTTCTGATCCTCAATGAGAGACTTATCGGCCTCGATCGCAAGGATTGCCGCTATGAGGACAGAGCCGTTGGATGATCCAGCACCGGCGATTCCGGAAACCGGGACGGGATCGACGACGCCGGAGCAGTCGGGGCACTCCCACTCCCGAGTCAATTCTAGGGTTTTCGGAGGGGACGAGAGGCAAGACACGTGCCACGGCATGCCGCACGTGGTGCACGAGAGGCACTCGGTTTCCACCGGAGGCGTCAGGTTGCAGCGCATGCAAACTCCTTCTTCGTTGCAAGGGTATTGAGCCATTGTTTCGAATCGAAGAGAGAAATGGGATCGAGAGGAATTGAGTGATGGGAGAGAGATAGAGAGAAATTGGGGGAAATATAAAGGAGAGGGAGATGGAAAAGTGGAGAGGCGGGTTTTGAAAATTTGGGAAGAAGAGGCGTCTTTTTCAATTTGCAATTGAATTAAATTGAAATTAAAAAAATACCTAAAAACAAAAGAGGAATAATATCTTCTGATTTGATAAAAATCTTCTAATTTGATAAGATGTTTAGAGATGGAAACAATATCTTTCATTTTTTTGTTTTTTCTCATGTTAATTTTGAAACTTTTTTCTGAAAATGAGCTTTGAATATAGCCAAAAATCTTAGGAAATATAGTTCAATACAAAGAATATCCAATAGCATATTGCTGTTTTATTTATTTTTTTATATAAAATATACCCTTTTAAAATTAAATGTATTTAGATTTCTTCAATTTTTTCTTTCTTATTTGGAAATTTTTAGATTTGATTTCTTATTGCTGGTCAAAATGTCTTTTGTATTTTCTTAAAGATTTTTTTAGGTAATTTTTTCTAGTCAATATTATTTAAAAACAGTTTAATACAATGTATATCTTATAAAACTAAACTAGAGAGGTGGTGTAGTAAAGCTAAATATTGAAAAATGTTGTATTTAAGAATTAATTTATATATATATATATATATATATGGAAATTAATTTTAAAAATATAAAAATGTATGAACAAATATATGTTTTGGTTTACCTTTGAATTTAGGCCTAGCCAAATTATACGTTATATCCGCTTCGATTTGATTCGAAAAATCTGGATAACCATAACAATGCAAATAAAAACAAATACTAAAATTCAATACCTGTTAAAAATGGATCAAATAGCAAATTTTGTTTATTAACACGGATATCCGCTCTGATCCGTATATTATAATAATTATGTATATATATACATATTATAGTATAAATTTGTTCTTTTTATCTTTAGAAACATACAAATCAACAAAAATATTGCTTTCACATATATATTCCACTCATTTATGCAGTAAAAAAAGTTTAATAACGTAGCATCAGCTTATTTTACTTTAAAATTAGGAATATTGTGACTAAAAAAAACCCAGTAATATGTTTAAAACTTTGAAATTATTTTTGCATTATGTTTTAATGTTAACGATAATTTGTTACTGGTACCGTTGTGATCAATTAATTTGCGTTTTTAGAACTTATTTTTCAAGGTATAATATAATTTAGGAAACAATATTATATTTAGGGATATATCTTTCTAATTATTTATAATTAATATATGTTTTTAGTTTTTTTTTTAAATATTTTATAAATCGGATGGGATATCCGCGGATATTTAATTTTTTATGGATATACGGATTTTCGGATATCCGGAAATTTTCGGTTCGGATCGGATCAGAAAATTAGTTATCCGGATAAGATGGATCGGATCACAGATTATTTCCGGATATCCGCTCCGTGCCCAAAGCTATTGGAATCTATCTTACTCCTGTGCTCCCAAACGTCAAAAAAGTCAAAACAATTTGGCAACACCAAATAGTAATTGTATACCATCACATTCACATCGGCTCCGAATGGAGAAAGCGGATCAAGCGTTGCGGATCAAGCGTATCAAAAGTGGAACTAGTGGATTGAACAGATCAAGCGGATCAAGTGGATCTAGTAGATCTAGTGGTTCAAAAATATATTTGAATGGGAAAAGCGGATAAAAAGCGGTTCAAAACACTGTACATATTATATGAGATAATTTTTTGTTTTTGTATAATTAAAATAATAAAATTAGGTTATTTTTTTAATTTTATTTTCAAATCATCATTTGAAAGAAATATGCATATAAATTAACTTCAAGTTAAATATGAATGAGGTCAAATATTTAATGAATTAATTATTAGGATTTTTCACTATTTTTAATAAAAATGGATATATGTGAAAATAAAAAGAGGAAGGCACATTAGGACCTTGAATGAGGAGTGTAAAACCTGTGGTCGAACTGCCTAAGTGGATGAACTGTAAAAGATTTCCCATTCAACAGATAAATCAATTATGTTACTGTACTTACTAAAAAATTAGTAAAAAAAGAATGAACCACAAATTATTCAGAATTATTAACAATTTAAATGATCCACTAGTAATAGCCTACTGCAATTTGAAGTGAAATAGGCAATTTGAAGTGAAATCTGGCATGGGCCGCAAGCTAAATTCGTTAATGGGCCGATAAATGAATGGAAATGTTCTTAAAGCAAAATCAGATGTAACGGAGATTCGAACCGAGCTCCTTCACACTTACCTATCGACACATAACCAACTCAGCTACGTGATAATTTTGTATAAAATGCGGCCGATATTTTACTTATTCTCAACCGGGCTGCAAGCCCTGCTTGCTCAGCTTGCTCTCAGGGACGGCTGTGCATGCATATTTGACTTGAAGTTAATTTCTATGCATATTTATTTCAAATGATGATTTTGAAAATAAAATTATAAGATAACCTAATTTTATTTTATATATACAAAATAAAATACAAATTTGTATCTTATATAATTATTACAAAAATGTGTATAGTGTTTTGGACCACTTTATATCCGTTTTTCCCATTCAAATATATTTTTTGAATCGTTATACATGCTAGATCCGCTTGATCCGCTCAATCCACTAGTTCCGCTTTTGGTATCCGCTTGATCCGCTTTCTCCATTCGGATCGAGCGTGACAAAAGCGGAATTAGTGGATCGAGCGGATCAAGCGAATCAAGTGCGGATCAAGCGGATCTAACGATTCCAACAGTTCAAAAATATATTTGAATGAGAAAAGCGGATATAAAGCGGTCCAAAACACTATACATATTATTAATAATTATATAAAATACAAAATTATTATTTTTGTATGTTTAAAAATTATCATATAAAAAGTTAATCTTGATCAAACATATACATTAAATGATTTTATAAAATGTAATAATATAACTATACATATTTTTTACAGCTACTTAACATTAATGTTGTCCAAATAAATATACAGTTGGTCCAAAACTACATTTTAAAACTATATTATATAAATTAGGTAATTATTATATAGTAAATACATATATGACAAGAAATCTAGATGACAAAAACTAAAGTCAAAATCACAACACAAATGATATATTATAAATAAAATAATATCAACTAATAAAGTTGTATCTTGAAATTTAAAGTTTTCTAAATTTAAAATAATGAAAATAAGCATTTCCACTTGAAACACTCCAA